TAAATCAAATTTGTGCATTGTTAAGTGTACATTAAGATTGGCGCTTAGTTTAAAGAGGAGAATGTCATCTCCTTTTGGGCTGAAAGACAGTGTAGACTTAGATCTTGTTGAGGTTCGCAGTAGCCCCAAGGGAATATCCCATCCACGTTACTGCATACTGTGCGAAGCCATTTTGTTGAAGTCTATCTTGCATTGAAACCATAGCCGGCCAGAGCCTTGGTCAATGTTATAGACAGTCCTAGTATGCGTATACCGGGCACGTCTTGGTATAGCATCTAGGGTGGCGAAAACATGTGAACAAACAGTACTATGGTAAGGATCACATCGGTGGGACTTAGCTTATGATAACGTAAGAACCGATTAAGATGCAGATCTATGAAGAGGAGATTCCCTTAAAGAAGGAAGAAGGGAGACATGAAAAGTTTTTCATGTCTTATACAGCCGACCACTGCGAGGTGGCTTCGCCTTTAGAGTACGTGCCCCAACCACCATACTGGGTGGGTCATCTATCTCAACAGGTTTTTCAAATGCATGCAAAGGAACAGACGCAAGCACAACAACCAAATTGTCATGAGCCTCACCGGGATGAAACAGGATGCAGGCCCTTCCATGGGTTAGGGCTGAAGTTAAAGACCATGCTGACGAATTTGTTTCAGCCCAGCAATTACTTGAATGAATAAGCCTTCATTATGTTTCTTAGAACTGTGGAATGATTGTCAAATGGTGAAGAAACTTATTGACCGACAAGCCATTTTCGCCTTGAAGAGAAACTGTATTGTCAAAACAGTGATCGTAGCTTGATTGTTTGTGTGACAAAGTTTTGCATATTAACAAGCAGTAGTGGTGCCACAGGCATTTAAGACAAATTCATATTATAATTCTTCAAAGCTCTGGTTCGATCATTTTTTGGAACTATTCTCTTGCCATCATTGGGAGTCAGATTTGGCACGGAATATATGGCGCACAGTACCATACGTTGATGATGCCTCTGAACGCGAACTCCCCTGTATGCATTTTTTGATCACATAGTATATCAAGCTCATCTCTAAATGCTCGTATTTTCAAGGCGTTTCAGAGTTTACTAAAGTGATCAGATACTCCATGTTATTTTATAAAGTCAGTGATTAGTAGGAGCACAAACACATATGTGTGCCCCAAAGTCTGTTTTACAAAGATCGTATCATGTGGCCGAAAACATGATTATATTAAACTAGCCACATACATCGTTAGAAAAGAGGTCTTGCTATTTCAGTAACTAAGCTTACATCTCTACCAGCGTCTTACTTTTGAAGTGGTCTTTATCTTTCGAAAATGAAAAAAAAAAAAAAAAAGATTATGACCTTTCATATTTTGAATGGAAATCAAACCTGAAATCGTTCCATCGTTCATCCACACGTCAACACAGTTCATGTGTAGATAGGTACATCCAGTTTCCTCCAAAAAATGTCCAGGATTTAGCGTTTTAAAAGGTTTTTATGATCTTGCCCAAAATAAAAAAATGACATACACAGTTGCAATGACTTATTTCATCATTTAATCCTGATTTGAACGCGGAGGCAAATCATTCATGTGGATTGAATCCTCCTCTTGCCTAACCTCTCCTAATTCTTGCTGCTCTAGCATCTCATCAAAAAATGTTGTGCGCAACTCTTTCCATCTTGTGGAGTAAGTTGACAACGTGACCAAAATTACCCCAGATATGATTTGTAAACACCACCAAAGAAATGATGCTGGAAATTTGCCAGTGTATAGCCACACAACAATGACATTGAGGATGTGAACCGTCACTGCAAAGTCCCATGCGAGCTTTGATCTTCCCACGATAATAGTAACAAACAAGACACAGAGAAGAGAGTCGAAAAGCCACAATGCAAACAAAATGAGTCCCATTGCATTATCTGGTTCTATCAACTCCCATGAGAACACCCAACTGACAGTGAAGTCGTACCCATTGAGCAGAGACACCAAATAAAAGACTACCAACGCAGCTAGATAATAGAAACATTGGAGAAGCAAGATTTGACAAGATATTCGTAGTGGAGTATTAGCAGAATTTTCTTTCGTGCCAACCGGTAGATATTCAGCCCTGAACCAAGACATTATGTGATGTAATTGTGTGACCGAAAGTAGGTTTATGTGGCACAAGTTGGCGCTCACGTTTGAATATAGTCACGTGACCAGAAGCGGCCTTCCTCATCGACAATCGATAAGATAAGGCTTTATGAGTATTTTGATAATTAAGTAACACAGCAAACTGACATAGAAGAAAAAAAACCCTCGTGAATGATCAGCTAAAGAAACTCTATGCTATTTTCGAGATGTAACTTATAGATGTCTCGCACAAACTACGGTTATTCTGTGAAAGTCTGTCTCTTTCATTGATGTATTCAACAAGCAGATATCACCTCTTTATATTTGAATTTTGGGATTTAGCCAAAAAGCTTTTGAAAATGTAGAGCCAAATAAGTACTAGAAGGGATGATTTGAAAGAACGTATGATTGCGGATGGTCACTCATGAAATCCTCTAAAGGACTTGACATTGCATATCATCCAAACTTTGAAATGGCTCACTTATTTAATTTCATGGCGTAGTATTGTCCCTAATCTGCTCTTCATGAAAGAGATCTAGACTAGACGCCGCTAACCTCTTAGCGATTAATGTCCGCATCTTCAGCTTAGATCTTGTCAATGCGAAATGATTAGAACCTAAAAGGCTCTTGGCTTGTCACTATAAACGCCCGCATAAGAGAGATACGGAAAGAACAGTAAGTGTTTATGCATCGATACATATGTAATTCACTTATAAGAATAGCTCATCAACGGTATGCGCGTGACTTCAATTATTTTTTACCTTTCTTCTTGCCTCCTTTGCTATTACGTGCTTTTCCCTGGGTGTTGACTCTGTCAACCTTCGTCTTTTTGTAAGATCTGCCAGTTTCTTTCTCCACTTCCTTCTGTTTTCTCTTCTTGGAATTGAGCTTAGTTTTGTTCTTGGACAATTCTTGCAATGCCAGGTTTTTTCTTTTGTCAGCTTCAGACTCGAACCAGGTTCTCTTTGGTTTTGAATAGATCTCTTTTCCATGCTTCAAAAGATTTTCTGCCTTACTCATTTCCATCTCAGCAGAAAGAAGATCTTTTGCCTCTTTTTCCTCCTCCAATACTTCTTCTATGAGCGCCTCTTTGTCCTCAATTACTTTGTGCACCGTCTCAATTTCAGACCAGTCCACCAGTCTGGATACAGCCTTTTGCTGAGACTCACTAGATTCCAACGATTTGATCGCTGCTTTCACGATGTTTCTGTCGGCAGCAGCTTCTCCCACCAATGTGACAGAGCGACCGTCTCTACCTGCTCTCGCTGTTCTTCCAACTCTATGCAAATAGATTTCATGCGACTTTGGCATATCATAATTGATGACCATCTCAATTTTGGGGATATCCAAACCTCTTGCTGCCAAATCTGTACAGATCAAGACCGGAACAGTCAAGTTTTTGAAGTCGTTGACATTGTTGAGACGCTGTTCCTGGGACAAAGATCCATGCAACTCAGACACCTTCATACCCAAGAGACCAAGTATGATTCTAAGTCTATGAGCGGTATCCTTTCTGGAAACAAAGACCACAATTCGGCTTTGCTGCTGAGGATCACAACTTTTTAGAAGCTGGTATAAGAGCGCGGGCTTCATGGTATCCTTTTTACGAATACGAACAAACTCTTGCACCAAATTTGAAGCTGCTGCTTTTGGCGGGTCAATCATAATACGCACAGGTTTGTTCAACGATAACTGGATCAAGTCTTGGATCTTGGTGTTCATCGTCGCGGAGTAAAGCATTGTTTGCCGCTTGTGTTTTGGAATCAAAGTCAAGATCTCTGTGAGTTCCACCTGGAAACCTTCCTCCAACATTCTATCTGCCTCATCCATGACGAGAATCTCTAAGTTGTCGATGGAGAATGATGCAGAGTTTCTGATATGATCAATCAATCTACCTGGAGTAGCGACAACAATATCAGGTCTAGTTTTCAACTGTTGCTCTTGTTGTCTGAGATTCAAGCCACCCACAGCCAAACCGAAGGTGAGGTTGTTGATGAAACGACCTATTTTCTTTCCCACGTCACACACTTGGATAGCCAATTCTCTGGTTGGGGTTAAAACAATGACTCTTGTCGACGCGATTTTTGTTGGCTTGAAGAGCAATCTCTCAATGATGGGAATCATGTAGGCAGCAGTCTTACCCGAACCTGTGACGGCACCTGCGACTATATCCTTGCCCATAAGAGCAATAGGAATGGAAGAAGCCTGGATAGGCGAGGGCTTAGTGTATCCCAAATTAGACAACCCTTTCAAGACTGGACGAGAGAGATCTAGGGACTGGAACGTGTTGTGTGGATCTTCAGCCTCATCAGCCTTTTCAAAAAAATCGGCGATCGCGTCAGCAGAGTCCTCATCTTTTTCAGAGTCACTGCCATCCGCACCTTCATCCAAAACTTCTTCCTCTTCATTATCATCATTGCCTTCGTCGTCGTCTTCAGCAGCCTCGTCGTCTTCCACGTCCTCCAGGAAGCCCATGCCAAAACCATCCATGGCAAGCTCGTCATCATCGTCTTTTGCCTCCGCATCTGCTTCTTGACCAGTCAGCTCTGAATTATCGTTCGATTCTTCTTCAGCTGAACCGATAGAGGTAGCGTTCTTGCTTTCGGCTTCCGCCGTGGGTTCAGCCTCACCTTCCACAAGTCCAGTCAATCCGCCTTTTCTTCTCAAAATTTCGTCGAGGTTCACGTCTTTCTTCTTTGGGGCCTTGTCATCCTCGATCACTCTAAATTCCCAGCCATCTGTTGTGCTGGTGGTCTGGAAGTCGTCCAACGAAAACTTGAAGTCTGGGTTAATATCTTCATCCTCAGCATCAGGTTTCTTCTCTTCTAGCTCAGCCTCGGAGTCGCTTTCGGCAACTTGGACTTCGCCTTCGGAGTCGCTGTCAATTGTTAAGAGTAAATCTTCTTTGGGTGCCTTTGATCTGCCTTTCTTCCCCATTCTTAATGCTGCGTGGTTTTAGACCGGTTTAGAATTTCAGTCCAAATGAGATGCGCCTTTTTTTTCTTGAGATGGCATAAACGCAGCGGCTTGCACATAAAAGCGATGGCACAGTATGTTCCCCCGCAAGCCGCGAAGCAGACGTGAGAGATTGGAGCTTGAGTGGTTACTCAATTCTAGGAGTCGAAATGTTCTGACAATTATCAAGTCGTATCGTATATATCTATATTCATTTACTCGAAGTGAAAATTCTCTGAGATACTTGTCAACTCGTCAAGATCGTAGTACTCTTCGCTATCATCACTTTCAACCTCATCTTTTGGCGCAACGTCTTCGAAATCCTTGCTTTCCAAGACAAGTAATTGTGTGTTTTTTCTGATTTCTTGCAAAGATGTCAATTGCTGCGCGGTTTCCTTTGATAAGTCTTTCTCCTGGGACAAGCCCTTCAACATCTTCAACCCATCTAACCAGACCGCCTTCTTATCCTCAGAATTGGTATAGAAACTAAGTAGCGTCTTCTGATGCCGATCCCATAAGATAATTTTCTCATACGAGATGGTTCCCTTAACCGAAATCAAAGAATCGCTTTTCGCCTTGTCATCTTCTCCAATCAGATTTCCAATTTTTATGGACTTTAATTCGGAAATGTCTTTTAAAGCAATAGACTGCGACTCCATCTCTTCCAAAGTCGGCTTCAAGGTAGTCACCTCACTAAACTCCTTGTAATGGAGAAGCCTTCTATTTGGACTTAGCATGATAAAATAGTAGTTTGACGAAATAGATTTCTTCACTTTGCCATCGAAAAGTCTGTCCGCATGGGCTTCGGTATGAACCCATGAGCCTTTGAGAAGTTGCATAACTCTTTGTTCGCAAACAAAGTCTATAGTTTCCTTGGCCAAGGTTTTGTCGAACCCCTTGAATCTTGGCGCCCATTTCAAGGCATGAGTGCTTTTCATGTGATCAAATTGTTCGCGGCGAATCTCCGTTGTGGTTCTTTTGGTGAAGTCTTCCAAACTCTCTTCAATATTACCCACGCCAGCGAGAGAATTCTCTAGGATTGAAATATTGATTTTAAGGAGCTCAATGATTCCCTTGATGTCGGAAGAGTTTTCCAAAACCGAATTTGTCTCCTGCCATAGAGATAAACAGTTGTTCATTGAGTAATAGATCATCAACTCCCAAGAAAGAATGTGACTGGCGATACGAGGGTATGTCTTTTTTTCGTAAAAGATGTCGAGCCACAACTTGGTGCACTCCGATATAAAAAGATATAACGGGAACGTGCGGTTGTGGTCGCTCATAATTAACTCTTCGTGGAACTTCTTTTTAAAAGCCATATTAGGGTCCTTTAAGAAGACCTTCAAGTCCATGGCAAGCAATATAGTAAATTTCTCAGTCACGAATGTTTTTGGATCTGCGGTGAATCCCGCCTTCACATATTCCTCAGTAGACGCAGGCGTTCCGAACTCATTTAAGGAGACGTCCAAGAATACGAAAAGGTTTGTGAGCATGACTTGATGGGAAGTAAGAGACATATGAAAACGTGTCTTACTCAAGTATTCATTCAAGCTTAAGTAGGATTTTTCCAAAGCGGATATAGCCGTTTGCATATGAGCTTCTTCTACTTCTTCCAATGTTGTGATGGTGAAAAAAAACTTCACATGCTTGAGACGGCCACTGAGGGTGATGATACGATCATAGCTGAATTGCAATGCCTTTTCAATGAGCTCGTTTACCAAATAGATGGAGCTCAATACGACCTTCGTTTCGGAGGTGTACAACTTGGCAGTCATAACATCAATCACATCTAAATAAGTGACAAGACTTTGAAAAATCGGCAAATAAATGTCAATAGAAGACTTGCCGAACCACGAAGGGTACATTCCCCCAGAAATTGACAAAAGAGCTATCTTCAAAATCGCTCTGTATGTCTCTGCAGACATTTTCATCGACACAATCGAGAACAAAGCATCGAATAGGCTTTCGTCCAAGATCAACTGAAAATCGGGAGATACAGATTCAGATTCGGGCGCAGAAACGCAATCTAAAAGCTTCGCAAAAACAACTATGGAATTCACTTTTTCTTGCTTGTCTTTGCCTAGAATGTTTTGCTTCAAAATGTCTGAGTACTTGAGGGCTGACTCAACATCGAGCTTTATTTGAGAAGCTTTGCCTTCACTCAAGAGCTCGTTGAGCCTGTGATTAATTGTTCTCGAAGATTCGGCCATTTAGAAATGAAACTAGACCTGTTTTTGAATGATGGATTTCGCCCTGAGAGGTTCCTAGTCGCGAGCTGGGATTGAAAGAAGGTTAGGAAACGGGTGACTAGTTCACTTGGATGCGTATTGGAAAGCAATGGGGAATGTCCAATGTATCCGAGGAGTGAAGTCAAGGCTTGTGAGCTTCCACTCAAGAATACAAAAAAATTATTCCCAGTGCTTGGAACACGTCAGAGACAGGAGTGTCTGCAGGGTGCCCGGTATTAGGTAAAAAAATCCTTACCATAGAAAAGAATAGGACACGGGACTGCATTCAAAATACAACGCCAAATCTTGGGACAGTGGGTTTTCCCGATCATCATAATGAAGAGAACAAGAAAGTTTGACAGCCAAATGAGCGTGATGAATGCCCTTGAATGAGAAGAAGGAATCCCCGGTCTATGCTTCCTTGACCAAAACGAGACTTCTGAAGATGAACCTCGGACGTTCATTGGTCCATTGAATGCTTTGGGGCATTCCGCGAGTTCAAGGCCGCACAACCTTCAACTGCATATGCGCTTTGGGAAGAACAGAGTACGGGAACGAGGGTCAAATTATTACAACAATTATTCGAACAAGCAACGTTTCATTGTAAGGGGATTGCTGATTATTGCGAAGGACTGCTAGTGTCAAGTTTTTTGGCATGCGGGTGGCTCTGGACACCTTTTTTTATCACCAAAAAAGAAAGCTGCACGACTTAATCTGGCCTAACTGAGTCGAACTATGGTCTCTCAGAGTGTTCTCGCATATACTTGTGTGCAGGAGTTTAAGATATGTACTCTATACGATAGTGGCTTTGAACAAGGTGAACGAGTGAGGAAACAGGCCCTGCTGCTCATCCATAATTGCGTCAGCTGCCATTTGAGTTTACGTTGATCTGGATACGAGATACGCGGCTAGGATACGAATGCAAACAGTAATTATGAAAGCTAGATGTGCACTTCTTGATGTGACTGGCCGGATGGGCAATTTATCAGATGGGCAACGAAAAGCGAGAACCGTCCGTCTGCATTATGCTGCATAACTCGCGAAAAATGCCCGAGGAGCTGAGCCAGAAATATTTAGACTACACGGTGTGATTGTAGTTTTCATACAAAGCGAGGCTGTTGATATGGTATGCACTATTGGTACAACTAACACTGCTGGTATGGTACACATTGTTGGTGTTTTATCCTCTTTCTCTTTTTTTTGGTAGATTCATCTGCTTAAAGGGGCAATTTTTTTTTTTTTATTAATATATATAAAAACCTTTAAACAGCTCCCAGCTACGTACCAAGTGTCAAAGCTCGTTTCGGTATTTTATCTTCTGTTGTTATTTTATTTTCTGTTGGTATTCCATCCTCTGTTGGTACTCTGTTCTCTGTTGGTATACTAACAAACAGCACCGGAAGAAGGAAAAATTCCTGTCTGATGTGCGTCGCCGATTGAGCTCGTGGGAAGCAACATTCTCCGTTCTCACTTCCCATTGCCGGGTGTGTGCCAATGCTTGAACGGGCAGCCTCGAACTAAGCAGCTGGTTTTCAGCCCCCTCTCTTTTCAATTTTGTTTCATGAGTTTGTCTTCAAAAACATACTTCGCGCATTGCTCCAAAGTATATCCCACAGCCACTACTTTGCTGAGAGTCCTGTCCGAGTTGGTCCCAAAATTTTCATTCGTGCGAATACTGATGTACCTTCATAGATTTTAGTACCAGATTTCTCAATTCAAGTATGTACGGTACTTCGGATCCTTAGAATACTACTATTCTCTAAGGACCCTTGCGGAAGAAAGGAAAGGGAAAAAACTTTCCCTGTACGGAAGTTTTTTCCTCTTGCCACGTGAGAGATGCCTACATGGCGGATACCACGTGACAATAGACGAGCACTATAGCTTCAAGGCAAGGGCAGTATGCGCGGTCCGAATTTCATATGTTGTGGTCACGCTGCCGCTTCCAACCAGGCCTCCAAGTTGAGGCCACGAAAAAATTGCGTACCGAAATTACACGTTCGTGACTCAATATTTGTTTTTTTTTTGCCACTCGGGTTTTCTGCTATTTTAGGCGTGGACTTGTCTCAGCTATCTCGCGCGTTTCCTGCCTTTCGACGTGGCCTCTAGAGCCCCACGCCAAAACGCGCACATGGAAAACCACCAGAAAGTCCGTACTTCTCCACAAGCATGTTCAATTTAGCTAGTGTATGTGTCCCGCAGCCATTCAGATATTAATACAGCCACTAACATCTAGTCTTTGTCTTTCTTGGACAATCCCAGCATCGACTGGAAATCAGTTGTGACAACCCTCTTGCTAGGCAAGTACGTGTTCGAATCTTATATCGACTATAGACAGCACCAGGTTTTCCAGAGAACCGAGCCCCCCGCGTCCATCAAAAAAGAGGTCACTCAGGAAGTGTTTTTGAAATCCCAGGAGTACTCGAGAGCCAAGTCGCGGTTTGCCTTTGTCAGTAATGCCATTGACGTTGTCAAGGAACTTGCTGCCATCAAGTTTGATGTCTTGCCTCGCATGTGGTCTTTCGCCAGTTCTGTCTCTTTACGCTTATCCCGTGTTTCTGTCATTGGCCGTTTTTTCGGTGCTTCTGTGATGTCTCAGAGCATTGTGTTTTTTGCCATCACCACCGCGCTTTCCACCTTGGAGGCCTTGCCCATGTCTTACTACAAGACTTTTGTCTTGGAAGAGAAATACGGCTTCAACAAGTCCACCGTAAAAGTGTGGATCACAGACGCAATCAAGTCTTTATTGCTCATGGTCTCCTTGGGGTCTCCTTTTGTCTACGGTTTCTTGCGTATCATTGACCACTACGGCGTGTCATTTGTATCATACGCATGCGTGTTTGTTTTGGCCGCTCAGCTTTTTTTCATGACGATAATCCCTAGTTTGATTCTCCCTCTCTTCTACAAGTTCACTGCGCTCGAGGACGGCGAGTTGAAGACCGAAATCGAGGCCTTGGCTAAAAGAAACAACTTCCCCCTCACCAAATTGTTTGTGATTGATGGCTCCACCCGAAGCGCCCACTCGAACGCCTTTTTCGTTGGTTTGCCGTGGAGTAAGAAAATTGTGCTTTACGATACGTTGGTCGAGCACAACACCACCGAGGAAACTGTTGCTGTCTTGGCACACGAAATCGGCCACTGGAAGTTGAACCACTTGCCCCAAATGTTGCTTGCTACTCAAGCGACGGTGGCCACCACTTTTATTTTGTTCTCGGCCTTCCTTGAAAACAAGTCTTTGTTCCACTCGTTCGGCTTCACCCAGGTCTACCCAGCCTTCATTGCCTTCAGTTTGTTTGGATATGTGAGCGCACCAATGAACTGTGTGACCCAGGCCTTGATGAACATTTTGTCGCGGAAAAACGAGTACCAGGCGGATGAGTACGCAAAGGACCAGGGATACACGAAGGACCTCGCAGCCTCTTTAATCAAACTTTCCACCAAGAACTTGGGCTCTTTGAACACTGACTGGTTGTATTCTGCCTACAACCACTCACACCCAATCTTGGCCGACAGATTGAGCGCCCTTGGGTACGTTTCTGAGGAGAAAATCGGAGACGTCAAGTTGGAAGTCGAAGCCACAGAGGAAAAGTGATAGGAATCGATATGTATTTCGGAATGTATGAGGGCAACCTCTCTAGCCATAGCGTTTCTTCAACTCGTCAAAATCCGCCCTCATTTGCGCGTAGCCCAAGTGGATTTTGCCGATGAAGTGGTCAGCCAATCTCCGGTCACTGTCGAGCCGAGAGAGGTACGCTCCGCACACCTCGCACACCTGAAGCTTCTGCTGCGCAGACTGCCCAATGTTTTCCGCAATGAGTCTGGCCTGATCCGCTAGCGCGTCTCGCTGCTTCAGGACTTCCTCCAAACGAGCACTCTGCTCAAAGGCTTTCTGGGTCTCGCCCTCGGCCGCCAAATATCGGATTTCCGAAGTCATGAGTCCGATTTTTGTATCTAGAACGTCCAAGTCTTTTGTGACGGCGGCGATCTTGGCCTTTTCCTCCGGGGTGTGCTCCAAGCGTTTGAGCGCAGTGGCAATGGTGAAGTCAATCTCATCGATATACTTCTGAAGCAGCTTGTAATACTCGTGCTCAAAGCTGGGGAATTTGTCGTTCTTCTTTTTCGTACGATACTCGTACTCGAGCTTATGCTTTTCCAAGTGCAAGGACGGGCACCTACCAATATTTAGCTTTGTGCCAGCAAAGAGGTCGTGCGGACAGGTGCCCACAAGAAACGCTTTGCACACCCGGGGATTGGTCATCTCGACCTCTTTTCTCTTGACCTGGAACGAGTCCAATGCCTCTTTGCCCATGAGCTGCTCCAAGAGCTTTCGCTGATCATCTGCCATTGTGTGTCTGGGTGCGTGGACGTGCTGCGCAGATAGTTGCTTGCAAAAATGAATGTGCAAGGTATCTGATATTTGACAAACCTCCACAATATATCTTTTGCAGTGTCGGTTGTAAAGCCCTAGTTCTCACATAAATTGGCCTCATGGCTTCGCGCACTCGCACGTCCAATACAGTGCGCACTGGCACTATCTGGAGTGTGGAGATATCTCATTTAATTACATTCTTCCCAGAAAGCGAGATTCTTGCTCACCGTAAATTCCCGGCAATCGCCGCTTCACTCGGTCCCAGGCCTATTCTGCTGCTCACATGAAAAAATACCAGTTAATTGGCCGGAAAAAGGTGGCGTTCAATCGCCGCACTGATGGAGCCTACCCTCCGCTTCACATCTGCCTGCTTCCATTCGAAGTGCTCCTCCAGATCTTGTCACACGTGCAGAAAAACGTCAACGACTTGCTCCTGCTTGCGTTGACATGCTCCAAGCTCAACACCATAATCCTGAAATTCTTCTTGTACCGCAAACTAAGCTTTCTGTCGGCCTTGAAATTCGACAGCTTTGCCCAGGCGCACCTACCGCATAAGATCTCATCGTTGGCACGTCGTTTTGTCTCCAGCGAGCCGAGTGGCAAGATCAATTTCATCACATCGGTACACTTTGTGAACCCGCCGACGTACAGCAATTTCAACGCCCATACCCATATCGCCGGAAGCTATGCGGTGGATACCCTGAAGTCAGATTTATCGGAGTATCGCTATTTTGTCAAGAGCTTGCAATCTTTGCTCAACGAAGCGTTTGGCTTGAAGGAAGTCAGGCTCTCAGAAATTTCTCCCCAGTTCGACTTTGCGCCCGAGCTCGTGGAATCGGCGTCCCTCCTGGGGCTCAAGTCCCGTTTCAAGTCCCACAAGCAAACCCGCTGTCTTGAGAAGCTCGTATTGACCGCACAGTCCGGATGGACCATACCGTTCAAAGCGAGTCATGTGTCCCTCTTCACAAGCATTTTCCAGAGAATCTCAATTTTGCACCTCAACAATTTCGTAATCAACGAGCAAAAGCTTGTTTCCGAGTCTCCGTCACATCCTCCCTCGATCGAATCTTTGCTGTTGTCTGCGTGCATATATGTTGACTCCAAAAAAACGGCCAAAAGAAAATGCGTGGGACTTTTCGTGGAAACATCATCGCTCGAAATGTCCCTCATGCAGCATGGCACGGATCTCTCGCTCATCGATCTTGTGAAAGTTAACGACAAGCTTTCCAGGTTGAGCATTGACATAAGCTCGGCTATATTTTACCACGTGGACTCTGCGGATAACAAACCGAAGTTCAATTTCACCAAGTACAACAACTTCTTTAAGTTGGTCTGCTCTGGCGCAGGCGGCTACGCGAATCTTAAGGAGATCGTTTTGACGAGCTTTGACCTTTTCCATACTTTTTCGCATCAGCACGAAAAGAGCACCCTCGATGTTATTCAAGAGGAAGGGTCTGATGGATTTGAGTCTCTTTCGAATACATTCGAGGGTTTTTTGAAGAATTTATCGGCAATTCCGTTCTTGACGATAGTCGTGAAAGAAGCTCCCAAAGTTGTGCGCACTTGCAAGAACTGTGGATTTACCATCAAAGAAGATACGAAGAAAATATCAAGCCTACGTCAAGACGAGTGGTACATTATTCTTGCACCTATTCTATTGAACAACAAATGTTCTTTGGTTGTCTACGATCACAAATTGCAAACTCTTTTTTCAAGAAGAATCATGTATTAAACTCACGTGATGATGGAAGTGAACAAACCCACGATGGACAATATGACAACATGAAATACAAGTATGTGATTTTCTAAACCGCGAGCCGCCACTTTTCATCTTGTTAGTATCCCTCTATACGGTCAACTGGCAGAAGAGCGAATCGTCCGCACGATTCTACAGAATCTGCTAAGTGGATCCAGCATCAAATAGATATGCAAAGATCCAGTTGACTTTCTGGAGAAATGCATCCAACAAATTCGGCTGCTCAGCTTTATCTCCGCCCAGAGTCTGACTAGTGGACGGCGAATCGTGAGTTAAAGTATCACACATGCTATCATCAGAATCGGCACATGGTTCAATCTCTCCTTCGCCTTCGTTTGCGAAGACCTCGGCTTTATACATACCATTCTGATAGTCCCATTCAGGCAAAAGGCTTTCTTGCATGTCCACTTTTGGAGAGTCTAGGTAGACCAGCTTTCCATCAACATCCAAAACTTTGAACGGTGACTTAAGTAAGGAATCAGTAAGCTGGACATACGTTCCTTGCTTGCTTTTCACTCCTTTGTGAATGAGATCTAACACAGGACACGGAGGAAGAATTTTAGTGGTATGAATTTTGGCATAATTTGCCTCACACTTGGGAGGACTTGGATTCACTTTGACTTTTCCACGCAGATTGCGTCTTGATCCAGTACTTGGTTTCAATTCTGCAGCAGCAGCAAATTGCCTTTTCGCCTGGTGGAAGTCAGGAAGAAGCTGTACATTTTTGTTTGGAAGAACTCGCACAAGCCCATAATTGTTTGGTTCTTGAGTGAATTCATAAATCAACCCTCCACTAAACACTCGGTTCATGTCTTCTGAATAAAGTGACCTCATTTCTCCAAACTTGCGTGGTTGAACCGTATTGCAACCGTACCTAAAAAGTTAGTATGGATGGATGAATGAAAATAGGTACAGTTCTGACATCACACATACTCCGAAAAGAACACAGGCCTCGAAAAGTTGATATATGCGTCGACGAGTACGCTATATCCGCTTGTATAAAAGGTTTGTTCGCCACACCACTGGTAGGAGTTGACACCATAAAAGTCTATCGCTTCAGTGGAGTCTTTTGTGGCGCACTCCAAGAAACGTGTCAACGGAACTCGATAGTTAAGGTCATCCGCTGCAGAATATCCCACGGGAATTATTCGGGGAGAATTTGATCGAATGTACTGCTTGATATCCCTCACCACTGCTTTGACGTAAACTGGAGACTTGGAAGCGGATATTTCGTCATTGATAATTTCATTTCCCGCAAAAAAGGCCAAAGTATTGTTATATGTGCTGAACTGGTGGACCACCAGGAAGACATTATTGAGGTACTCTTTTGTGTATGTAGACCACGGCTCATACCGGTTGAGATGATGGTCCGGCAATGGCGAATTGACATCCAAAACCAAGTATATTCCAGCAGCAGCAAGCATTGTCATACATGCATCGTGGTTCAAGCTGCTGTCAATATTGTAAACTCGGATGGTCTTTGGTTAGTACAGAGTGGGCAAAATGCAGACAAAACGCGACATTGAACGTACATTGAGTTTCATTTTCTGAAATAGAGCGATATCTCGGGCGCAAACCTGTGGATCCGACAAGGGGTCGAAGGATTGAAAGGCGCCCGAAGAGCCACCCGGCTGGTAGTCCACTCCTTTGATAAAGAACTGAAGCGTTAGTATGAAGCTCGCTTTTAGAATATCAAGTAGTCAGTTGCAAATACATACGGGCTGCTGTGTGACAGTATCGATGAAACTTTTGCCCACAACCGTTATCGGGTGGATTGAAGCTAATGCGGCTGGGAAATAGAGGACAAGAGTGAAGAAAAGCATAACTGTCATTGATGATAGTAAAGAATAGATGTCGAGCACAAAAAGTATTAGTCGCGAGGTCGAAGTGCGCTTCAGAGAAAGTACTTTGTGCGAGCGTTGGGCACATCACGACAACGACAGAAAATCATGCAGAACGCAGTAAAAAAACAATGTACTTAGTCAAAATATTTTGTTTGCGCAAAAGGAAGGAAAAAAAACAGTTCGTTTTATTGCTTGTGTGTTGTGGCAGTCTCGCAACAACGGCTGCAAAATTCGTCCTTCAAATACTGCCAATTCATCTCGAGATAGACGTGTGCGATGGCAACAAACTGTTTGATGGGTTTCCAATTGTGTTGCTGGGAGACTCTACGGCTGTAATCCCCACCATTCCCATTGACTACAAGAATGGAAGGGAAGCGTCACTTAATTTATAGTTAAAAAACTACACCATTGTCAGTTGGTTGGCAAAGCAGAAAGCAAGAACATGGATGCAAATTTATTTGATGGTCAAACATTTACATGAGAATTTCCAACCGCTTCGTATTTGACACAATAGATCTGCTCGTGTGCGCAGAGTTAGGTGAGTACAACCACTTATTTCTTCTTGGGGGCGGTCTTACCGTCTGGGATGGTGTAGAATACCATCTTGTCGCCCTCCGAGAGATCTGACTCGACCTTGTAGTAGCCCTTTCTCTCGAACTGAATGACGTCGCCCTTCTTCAAAGACTTGACATTGAGATCGGCGAAGGCCTCGCCCTTGAACTCGGTCACCGGGGTGATAAAGTCTTCGAAGTTGTCGGTCTCCTCCAACTTGTCCTTGGTGATCAAGTGGTCAAAGTCGACCAACTCAACCTGGGTCTTGTCCTCGGTGTCGGCCAACCACGTGACCTTCTTCTCGGTCTTCCGGAAGTCACCCTCCAAGTGCAACTCGGCGTCAATCGACTTGACAACATCGCCCTCTTTGTGGATCTTCTTGATGATGACATTGCCCCAGTCCATGAAGGTAACCTCCTCGGATTCAGCGAAGGAGGCGGCGTCCGCCTGCTCCACCAAAACCTTGCTGGAAAACAACACCTTCTTCAAGCCGACGTCGGGGTTCTTCTTGTGTTTGGGCTTGTCCTCGCTGACGACAGACTCAGGCCCCTTGGCAATAGTGACGGGCACCACGTCCTTGACGTCGATGGCAGTGTGTCTGGGGGCAACTGGGTCGATGATTTTCTTGTTCATGGCCCAGATGGCAGACCACTCCAAGTTGATGATGTTCTTGGAGGGGCCCTGGGAAAGGATGAAGTTTCTCAAACCCTCCACAGTCATGCCTCTTCTTCTAACACCCCGCACGGTGGGGAATCTTGGGTCGTCCCAGTTGGCCACGTATCCCTTGTCCACGAACCACTGCAACTTCCGCTTGGACAACAACGTCCTCATGAAGTTGACTCTTCCAAAGTCCCAGATGTCGACGTGGCGCAACTTCAAGACCTTCTGGATCCAGTCATACTGCGGGTTGCGGTCGCGGTACTCGTTGGTTCTCAAGGAGTGGGTGACGCCTTCGATGGAGTCCACCACGGGCACACAGAAGTCGTAGGTGGGGTAGATCTTCCACTGGGTGCCGGTTCTGTGGTGAGGGGTGAGGTTGCATCTGTAGATGACCGGGTCTCTCAAGGCCTTGTTGGGGTTCGTGTAGTCGATCTTGGCCCTCAAGCAGTTCTTGAGCCCGTCCTCGGAGCCAGCCTTCATCTCCTGCGTGAAGACGCGCAAGTTCTCGTCCACGGTGCGCTCTCTTCTGGCCGACGCGTCGCCCACCATTCTCTGCTCGCGCATCGTCTCCATGGGAGTGTCGTCGCAGTAGGCGTTGCCGTCCTTGATCATCTGGATGGCCAAGTCGTACATCTGGTCGAAGTAGTTGGACGAGAACGTGACCTTGTCGCCCTTGATGCCCATGAGAGCCAAGTCCTCGATGATGGCGTCCTGGAACTCGGTCTTCTCCTTGGAGGGGTTGGTGTCGTCGAAGCGGATGATCAACTTGCCCTGGTACGCGTGCGCAAAGTACTCGTTCAAGATGGCGGCCTTGACGTGCCCAATGTGCAAGTATCCCGAAGGCTCAGGGGGGAACCGGGTCACCACCTTGCCCATCTCGGCGTTGGGCAAGTCGATGGCGAAGTTGGCCTTGTGCGACTCCTTCTTCTCGCCCTTGGCGGCCTTGGCCAGCTTTCTCATCTCGTTGATGGCCTTGGTGGTGCGGTCTGCCACGTCGAACTTGGCGTCCGTGGCAATGAAGTTGTACCATCTGGAGATGTTGATGTACACGTCGTTCTTGAGCACGGAGCCCATGAGCGCGTTGGCGCGCAAGACGCCCCACACGGCGATGTCGGCCAACGACACCTGGTGGCCGAGCATGAACGAGCGGAAGTTCAAGTGGGCGTCCAACTTCTCCAAGTCGGAGGCCAAGGCCTTGAAGTTCTTGTTGGCCAACTTGTGCAGGGCAAACTGCACCCACGCGTCGGACTGCTGGGTAGTGGCGGCAATGGACGGCACCAAAGAGGCAAGCACGTGCAAAATCTCGGGCTCGCCGGCCGTGGTCTGGCCGTCCACGGTGAGGACCGCAGACACGTCTGTAGAGGCACTGGCGGATTTGTCGTCGACGTACTCGAGGGCCACCGCAACGTCGGATTCGGCCCGGACAAAGCCGGCTGCGATAATCGAGGCGTACGCAAGGAACGGTGCCTTGGCGGCAACGGTCAAGGTCAGCATGGTATCGAAACTGTGGGGGGAGAAGAGGGCAGAGGGCGGAGCCGGGTGAGAAAAATTCCTCCGGCGAGAACACGCGTCACGTGACGCGCCTGGCGCGGGCCCTGCGGCCGGTGTTCCATGCAACGGGTCTTCGAATCCATACTGTGGGTGGCAGCCAGCCGGAGTCACGCGCTGGGTCTCCGCTGGTGAAGTCGGATACCAGTTAGTGGTATCCACGCTTTATGACGGGCTGCATGTAGAACCAGCTGCAGCTCTGAAAAGCGTCCAGCGTCATCCTCACTTGATGAAGCTGACATGGACGCTGAAGCAGGTGTTCTGGAAGCCTCGCGTACGCCTCTTCTGTATAGTCCATTGCCATTGGAGGGACCTGCAAGGCTGTAAGGAGCGTTTTCGCAGTCCTATGGCCGCGTGGTAGTACTATAGCTTTTATGAGGCTGCCTCACGGAGACAAGAATGCCACGAGCTCAGTGCTAGTAGTGAGATGCCATCATCATTAGGGAGCTCAGATAGTGAAGTGGATGAGACCAAGACAGCCGAAGCAAGCTACACAGCTTCGAGTGAGGCTGTAGCCACGGGCGCAGATTGAGCTTCGTTGCTGTGAGAAGTAGGCGGGCCTTTCCCCAGGTAAAAAATGGCCATCAGCTGGGCAGTACTTCGAAGCAGCGCCTCTCTCTTGGGGCAGAGGAATGGGCTCACACCCTTTCCCTAAAAACAATCAGCACCGCGGTCGAAAGAAGCGGGTCTGATGAGAACGCACGTTCCCGTCAAATTGGCCAACGAGTGCCGCATTGTCCCGCCTTGCCATGAAAAGGGCGGCATCAGCAATACACGCTGCTCAATTGAGTTCCAGATCACACCGAGGGTACATCGCCCAGATACAACGCTCTGGTGCGTGCTTGACCACCTCCCCGCAACATGTTCTCACGCAAGTGAAGAGATGAAACAAAGAACGAGCCACGCAATTCTCGAAAAAGGTGAGACACACGTGCTCGTGCCCCAGCATCTTTGCCATCTGCCAAAGCCACTGGGAGCAGAGGCAAGTTCCGTCTATCCACCAACTAGTATATGCAGTCAATGCTGCTTGGCAGTCGCCCTCCAACGGGTGCCTCGTCCCAAAAGCAGCAAATAGCATAGATCTAGGAACCCGGTATCGTGGTGGGTTCGTTTGGCAGGCCGAATACAAGAGAGGGGCTCGTGGTATGTTTCCATGCCAAGGCTGCAACTGCACAATCAAAGACATGTCTCGTTCCACGCTCACTGCGGCGTCAGCACGCTCATCCAGTCCAGGCCGAACCATGAAATGGACTGCTTGCGGTTGCGCAAAAGTGGTTGTGATTGAAACGCCGAATCATTCTGGTGCATTATTCTTGGTTTTGCCAGAAGCTGTTCGTACTGGTTCAGCTGAACTGCATTCCACACGGGGCTCCGCTGCTCTGCATCAAGCCTCGGAAATACGCCTGTTGTTGCAAGCCGTCTTCTGACCGGCGTTTTGGTTTTTCTGCTCAGGCCACAGCCACTTCTCAAAGTAGGCGGCTGGGCCGATTGAATGAAATGGAGGCTTAAATGATTGGATGAAATAAGTGGGTGATATATTTGGGTCCTGAAATAATTGGGCGCTGTGACAATTGAATGCTGAAAAATTGGATGAAATAAGTGGATGAATTAACTGGATGCTGAAATGATTGGATGAAATGGATGCTGAAATAATTGGAGGAAATAACTGGATGCTGAAATGATTGGATGAAATGGATGCTGAAATAATTGGAGGAAATAACTGGATGCTGAAATGATTGGATGAAATGGATGCTGGAATAATTGGAGGAAATAACTGGATGCTGGAATAATTGGATGAAATGGATGCTGGAATAATTGGATGAAATGGATGCTGAAATAATTGGATGGAAAAACAGGACGCTGAAATAATTGGATGAAATGATTGTGTCCTGGACTAATTTGGCGCTGTATCCATTGAATACTGAAATGATTGGAGGTAATAACTGGATGCTGAAATAATTGGAAGAAATAATTGGATGCTGAAATAATTGGAAGAAATAATTGGACGAAATACTTAGGTCCTGAAATAATTCGCGCTGTGCCAATTGAATGGTTGAAAAAACTGGATGAAAATTAATTACAACGATTGGGTGCTGAAGTAATTGGATGAGACAACTGGACCCTGAAATAATTGGACCCTGAAATAATTGGACCCCGAAATAATCGGGTCCTGAAATAATTGGGTCCTGGACTAATTGGACGCTGGATCAATTTAATGCCGTACAAATCGGAAAAAACAACTGGCCGCTGAAATAAGTGAAGAAACAACCGGACGCCGAAAAACAGGACGCCGACACAATTGCACGCTACCTTCGGAGTTGGCACCATCAATGGGCCCGATCTCGCGTTCGCCCTCTCACACCCTCTCGCAGCCACGCACCCACTCGCACTAATAAAACACGGATGAGCGCCAGCTCCACCGTATGTCTGCCGCCTGTTTCTTTCCGCATTTTCCAGAAACCACCCGTCCGCGGCCGTTTCCAGCCCCAAACAGCCGTCCCAAAGTGTCCCCAAATTGTCTCCCAAACTTCCGCCCCAAACTGCCGCCCGGCTGGCTTCCCATTTCACACCCACTGCCCCGGCCCAGGGCGACACCCGTGCACCGCGCCCTTCACCAGCCCGCGCTCACCTTCGTGGATCCGCAGCTTGCCTACTACTCTTCTTCTTCGGGCCCCCTCCTCACAAACACCCCCGCCCCATGTCTCTCGGCGCGAGCGGCTCCGCGCGCCCGACGGCCAAGCGCTCGCCGTCGATCCTCGTCACGGACTCGCGCACAAATGTCATCCGTGGCACCAGGGCACCCTTTGCCGGCCAGAACTACCGCAAGCAGCAGCAACAGCAGCAAAAACAGCAGCAGCAGGAACAGGAACAACAACCAAAACACCCGCCGCCCGGCCCCCAGCAGCCGCGCCCGTCGCGCGGCCCGCACGGCCTCCAGCGGCGGCTTGCGGCGCGGGCCAACAAGTACACGGACATCTCCGTCGACAAGCTCCTCAGCAACCTGAGCGACATTCCGTCCGGGCAGAGCAGGCTCCCCCTGGCCGGCACGCCCAGCAACCCGCTCGCGCCGGCGCAGCGCAGCATGTCGCCGCCCGTGGCCGTGCCGGCATTGGCCGCGGAGCAGCAGCGACGGCGCAACGTGCTCGCGCAGCACCTCCCGGCGCGCACGTCCAAGAACTCGCAGCGGCTCGTGTTGATCCCGGACGACGCGGGCCGCGGCGACGGCGCGAGCGGGCTGCTGGGCGCGCCGGATCCCCGGCCCGCGCTCCTCCAGGGCCAGCTGCAGCGCAGCCGGGCGGAGCTCATGGCCAAGGAAACCCGCGCCAAGGAGTTCAGCAGGGTCACGGCCTACTACATCTGCGAGGAGTTCAGCCTCGCGGCGCTCATGGCGTTCGTGGAGAAGAACCACAACGTGGCGCCGCGCATGTACGACGAGGCGCTCTACGTGCCCTACACGCTCCCGCTTCTCCCCGGCACGGATGGGCTGCGCGTCAGGTCCAACGACTCGGCCAAGGCGCTCCCCAACAAGCGGTACATGGAGAAGATGATCGCCAAGTCCGAGCAGACCGACCACCTCTACGAGTACTACTCGGGCGTGGAGACCCCCGAGGACGCCAACAACTACTCCATGGACCCCGAGACCAGCGGCTCCGACAACAGCGGGCCCTTCGACCCCTCGGAGCCGCAGTTCTTTGCGCCGCCGCTCGACGTGGCCGCCAGCGCACCCGCGGGCTCGGCCCCGCCGGACCTGCCGGGCCTGCAGTCGGGCCTCCCGCCGGGGCAGCAGGCGGGCTGCAGCGTGCCGCCGCCGCCGCCGCTCCTGGGCAAGCCCCGCAGCAGCAAGGACGGCAAGCCGGGCGCCGAGGACCATGCCGAGCTCCTCAAGTACCATGCGGAGATGTTCGTGTTGCAGTACGGCATCGTCGTGTTCTGGAACCTCTCCGAGACCCACGAGAAGAACATCCTCGCCGACCTCGCCTTCGCCAGCGAGGTGCCCGAGCCCATCCTCATCAACCCAATCAGCGAGCAGGACATCGAGACCGAGGAGTTCCACTTCGACTACGACCCCCAGTTGCACCGGCCGCGCATCTTCAACGACATGATCACCTTGCGCAGCGGCGACCACTTGATCAAGTTGACCATGTCCCATGCGATCGCGCAGCTGACCAAGTTGGGGCTTTTCGAGAGCAGGATGGTCCACAGCCTCCTGCTGATCTCCAAGTTGCCCAAGAAGTTGGCCTTGACCGGGCGCCTCGGCCTCAAGCGGCAGCAGCTCCTCAAGAAGTCCGGCAAGTTGTTCAAGTTGCGGGTCGACGTCAACCTCCTGAGCTCCATCTTGGACACGCCCGAGTTTTTCTGGTCGATGGAGCCGGCCTTGCACCCTCTCTACAACGCGTTGAGGGAATACCTCGAGATTGAGCAGCGGGTCCAGGTCCTCAACGACAGGTGCAAGGTGTTCTTGGAGTTCCTGAACATCGTCAGCGACAGCATCAACGAGTCCAGCACGACCAGGATCACCATGATGATCATCGTCATCATATTCATCAGCCTCGGCGTCAGCATCTTCGAGTTCTTCTTAGACGTCATCTAGGTCGGGTATACTGGTTATACTCGCCGCTCATATCAGCATTACACTCGCCGGTAGCATGGCCGGTAGCATCGCATACACCGGTAACATCCCATATACCCGTAGCATCACATACACCGGTAACATCCCATATACGGTAGCATCAATATACACTGATAGTATATACATACACCGGTAGCATCAATATACACTGATAGTATATACATACACCGGCAGCATCAACACTCACCAACATACACCAGTGCCAAAATATACACATCAACCTCGTAAGACCAAAAGAAAAACACTTCGTGAAATAGGCTTCCTCTTCATCTCTGTCCCGCTGCAACAAACCCACTTTTTTTCCTACGTAGAAAGAATTCGCGCTCCAGCACCGCTCCTACCCCATACTTCACCAATGGAACTCCCCTCTATCCACGCACCAAACGGGCTTTCAGAAAGCGATAGGAAAAGGGCCATTACTGTGGGCCCTTCTCGGCGAAGCCAAATACGAACGGAGCCGAGCAGCTCGTTCAATGCGGGCTCCTACGCCCCGGCTCCCGACATTGAGATGATGGCTATCGACGACATGGAGGAGTCAAGGATGATATCCGACATCGTCGCCTCTTCAAGAAGTGAAACCGACTTTTCCGCTTCTGACGAAATGGAGCTTGACAGACACATTTTGCAGACATCTACGGTGGCGCTCCAGGGAAACGTGTCTTACTTGATCATCGACACCAACTTCATTCTCTCGCAGCTTCTGATTTTGGACGAGTTGAAAACTATCGGGGAGCGGTACGGCATTGTCATTGTCATTCCCATCCAGGTGGTCAGGGAATTGGACGGGTTGAAGGGATCCGAGAACAGGGCGTCCAACGAGCAGGGCGGCCTGCTGGATATCGGCAAATTGGCCCGCCGAGCCAACGACTGGATCTTCTCCTGCTTGGCCCAACGCTGTCCTACGGTCAAAGGCCAGGGCCTCAAAGAAAAAATCGACAGGTACGCCACAAAGGATGACGCCATTCTAGACTGCTGTCTCTATTACAAGGAGGAGTACAAACACACGCTCCAGATTCTATTTTCCAACGATAAAAACCTCTGCCTGAAAGCATTGATGAATGACGTTCTCACCATCTCGTTCCACAAAGACATGAGTGCGCAGTTGATTGCGGAGAAGATCTATCAGGAGAACATGATGAGATTCGGGTACATCGACCCGAATTCCGTCGCCAGTGTTGAAGTAGAGGTTCCAAGCCCAGTGCATGCACAGAGCCCGGAGCAGATCACCGAGTCCATCTACGCCGAGATTCTGAAGGTAGCATGTCATATTGTGGGGCTCTACATGCGGGCAGAGTATGGCGACGACATATCCCTAATCAGAGACTACGACGCAAACTCGACCGTGAGCCTAGAAGATGCAGTAATGGTAATCATCCGCTTCTGGAGACCCGTTTTCTCCCAGAGCTTGAGAGGAGGCGAGCCTTTCGAGGAGCACCACGGCAGAAGCACTCCTATCATGGTCGACCCCCCAAGATCAGCCCATGATTTGCTCCAGTTTGTTGACTTTTGGGAGAGCCTCTTGCTCAAGTTGTACGAGAAAAACAGTCGGCTCGATGGTCTCGAAGTGATTCAGATACATGCGAAAAAGTGGAAGGATCTTGCCCACTCACTTGTTGCGGCCGAGCACTGATTTCACATCGAGGATTGAGCGGTCTTTTGGTGGCGCAAGCGAGCTGGCCGATGGCTGTCAGCGTTTGCCAATGAAGCCGAGACGCTTTCTTTTGGACGGAGATAGTTTCTTGGACGGAGACGGCGACTGCGAAGGTGCAGGCGAGATGTCTGCCCGGGGCTCCAATTTGATTTTCAGCATTTGCTTGGAGTCTTCCTCGGAGGGGCTTCTTGCGCGTTTCTGGCGGCCGCCAGGGTGGATTCCAGCCAGGCCTTGGATGTCCAGAGACTCGCAGGTTTTGTTGGCACGTTGTGCCCATTGCTTCTGATGCAGGGCCATCAAGTTGAAGTCTTTCCATGTCCGACCACGGACATCGGTGACTTTGCTTTCGAGGTAGGCAGAGTACAGCGCTTCGGTTCTCGAGTCGAACTCTTCCTTCGAGTACCTCAGCAAGATGCTGGCAGAACCAGCGTGCTGCCTGCGATATTTGGACATAAGCTCGGTCCCGTTTACTGTCTTATAGTTCTCCTCCAAGTAGAGGATATATTCGTCTCGTGTACGGATCATGTTCTCCATCTGGAACCCTCTGTATAGCGATAAGCCATGGTTGGCAAGGCTTTGGCAACAGAGGCCCCGGAAGAAGTCCGAGGAAACTCTCGAGTCGCATAGGTCAGCGTTGAAAGACCACGATAGGTTCTCGCTGAGCTTGACCTCTGCGGCGATCGTTTGCAGGGAGGGGCAGGAGAAGCGAATGTGCGAGGGCGATTCGGAGACGGCCGCGGCCAAGTTGCACATCAAGATGCTACGCTTTTCCTCGTCAAAGCCGGAGATTCCACGCTCCAAGGCCTTTTTATATATGTCCTCCGTGGCAGGCGTGTCTGCCCACACCAGAACCAAGTCCGTGACGTAGAACGTGCACAGTGCGAACCGAGAGAACCCGAACATGTAGTACTTGTTGTCCATCAAAGTCTGGTTCCATACTAGCGGCAAACCATACTCGGGAGGAGCACTTGTAGAATGAGCGTCCATGTTAGAAGCGTTGAACAATTGGCAGACCTTGTCACGAGCGACTTGCAGGGAAAAGCTCGCTTGCTCGTTTGCATAGCCGGTGTTCCTGGTGCAGGTAAGTCGACGATGGTGGAGAAGATCATCGAACACCTCCGCACGAAAAACGTGGTTTCGAAAGCCCTTCCGCAGGACGGCTACCACTACTACAGGAGAGAGTTGGAGCAGTTTGAAGATCCGCAAGAGGCGTTCAGGCGGCGCGGGGCCCCGTTCACATTCAATGCCGAGGCCTTTGTGAGTAGCGTTCGCAAGTTGCGCACCCACGCCACGGTCACAGCGCCGCTGTTTGACCACAGCAAAAAAGACCCGTCCGAAGGCGCGATTGTGATTGGGCCCGAGGTCCAGGTGGTGTTTATCGAGGGAAACTACGTCGGCTTGAAGGACGAGCCCTGGGCGGAATTGGACGCGGCGACCGACCGCTTATGGATGATCCAGCAGGACCCGGGCTTGGTGCGGGAACGCCTCATCCAGCGGCACGTTTCCAGCGGGGTCTGCAGGAGCTACGAGGACGCCGTCGAGCGCTGTGACGGGCTGGACTGGCAAAACGCCGTGTATGTCATGGAGAATAGTAGGGCTCCGGACGTGGTGGTGACCCTCGGCTGAGTGGGCAGCAGGGCCGATTTATGCCGAGGGGCTGGAGCGGCGTCGCGGCTGGGTCAAATGTTGGCTCCTGTTCCGGGTGCTGTGGTTGACCAGGACGGGTGTCCAAGACTCCGGCGATGGCTCGTATACGCGATGCCGCTCGTATAAATATAGCGCTTTGATCGGAGCAGTATGCTTGGGATTATGCCTATTCAGTGAGGGCCGGCTGGTGCAGAGAAAAACGGCGAGTGATGATGGTTGTGGTGTTTTCTGGCTTTGGTCGGTGCTTGCTCGTGGAACGGCAAGAGGAGCTGGGGTCTGCAGTGGGCATGGTTATTCGAGTGCCCGCACGAGCAGGGATGAATCACGGTGTTATAGCGATTGCATGGGTGAGGCGGCGTGCTGCGTGATCGTGTTTGATCTTCTGTGTTATCTCATAGCCATCGGAGGTCAGACGGCACACTCTGCTGTATTCCGAAAGCCGAGTCCACGGTCTTGTTCTACGTCACTGGACTTCTCGCATACATCTTCTCGCATACATGCCATGCTCTGTTACTACATATGATCTGGTTGGAATCGATGGGATGCGGAAATCAAGCGCCCGAACGGTCCTGGGCCGACGGCTCCACTCCAAAAACGCCGGCTTGCACTGCAGACCAAAGGAGGAAGTTGAGGCCAGATAAAGTTGGAAAAGGAACTGGACTCAACAAGAATCTAATCATCAGAAAGATTTTCCAGGGCCGTTTCTCATGTGATGTTGCAGATGAATTAGGTCTATCTCTCACCTCTAAATGTCAGTCGTGGGATTTGCCTGAAATGTACGGGGTGGTTTGTCATGAAACGCCCGTGTCTCCTGAAATCAACTTCCACAATCCCCGATATGCCGGAGATGCTAGCTTCTTGCTCATGCCATTGAAAGAAAACATAACTCAAGGGTTAATCACGGCCAAGATGTCTTTTGCTGTTCAAAGATTGTCGCTTTTTAAGCAAATCACTAATGTGGCTGGCAATGCTTGGTCTCACACCTTGTCGGGTCACAATGAGTTTATTTTACTACACGAGTTCAAATAGAATAACTACATTGTGCCTGATGAGGAAGATAAGTATCACAAAAACAACAATCACCAGCAGGAAGCGAAGGTTGAGGCCGCTGAGGATGATGCGACTACAGTTGCCTCGAACAAGAAACCTTGGTACCAAGGTGGTTTGGTCTTTGGGAGAAAGGCTGGCACAGAAACTACATCTTGGTCATGGATTTTAACTCGTTGTATCCAAGCATTATTTAAGAATTCAATATCTGCTTTACAACAGTGTTGCGAGATGCATACAATATCTCACATGATGAAGATAAGGATATGCCTGATACTCCTGAAAGAGACTCTGAAGCTGGTGTGTTACCAAGACTTCTGATTCGTGCACAATATGACATCAAGCAACAAGCCTTAGAGTCAACAGCCAATTATATGTATGGATGTTTTATTTGGCAACAAAACTCACATCTTCCCTGCAATCACGCATGACTTGATCAAGAAAATCGATAGTCTGTCCAGCCGGACTGATGGAGAGGAATTTTTGCATGCTTCAATATTGACCATCGGAGCGCTAACATTGACCAGGCGTGAAATGGCGGGAACCAGAAAATATTTATTTGCTATTCTCTCGTCCGAAGTAAAAACTGCTGCGTTGAACTAAGATAGCCACAGAAGCATTTGGCGAAAGCGTTAATTCCGCCAATGCTCGAATATCCGTCCATAGACGGATTTCAGGGTCTCGCTGTGATGGCCAATTTTATGAGTGTTCCCCTCACCCGAAAACGCAATTGGTCATGACGTATCATGCTCTCCAGATTGCTGTTGCCATATGCTTGACTCTGATGCCACCGGTTGATACAGGCTCCCAGGAGCACGGGTTGCTGGTGGCGTTCTGGGGATTGTGGTACCCAAGCTCTTTGCTTTCTGCGTCTCACGGAGAGCCGCCGCCTTCAGCCAGAAATCAGATTTTGACTCCAGCCAACGTCAAAATGCTGAATATATATGTGGAAAAGTTTTCATAAATCCGCATCAAATTTTCCGAGCTTGCGGGGCTCGTCAGCGAGGTCATTTTCAGGCCTCGGATCTTCTGCTTGAAACAATGTACTCAAGTGCCTAATGATATCCTCCGGTATTCGTGTAGTCTCATTAAATTATGCATTGCAGAGGCTTCCTGATGATTCCCAACCTTGATAGCCCTAGAATATCAGTTCTGTATTTTGTATTTGGTTCCTTAAGCTTATGCACTTTTGGCCGCCATTAAAAAAAAGCCTAATAGAAGGATGGGTTTTGTTATAAAGAAGAGACACACTTGTTAATCTGTTTAGTGAGCGGGAGATACTCAAATCTAGCTTGAAATCAACAGAAACGAGAAAACATCAGTAAATTAATCCTGCCCGGGCTCCACATAATCCTTGCATGGAAATGGGCAAAGACTTTGCGGGAGTAGAAAAGTTGTGGCACAACAATGTTGCAGTAATTCCGGTCAATTGGACTCAGTGATTGTATTTCACCTCATTTTCCCAAACAGAATGACGAAGGTTCAACATAGCAAATCCACACACGTTTCTCTTTGACATTTCTAAAGTGAGTCGGGATGTCGGTTATCTTCGTGATCATCTTTTACAAGCATCTAAACATTTGAAGTGAGTTAATTACAGCAGTGTTTTCTTCAAATCCATTCTGATTTTCCAAAATATACTCCAAAACCTAACGAACATTGAAATAGTGTGATACGCCTTTCTGTTCAGAACGAGCTTGGTGAATGCCGTCTGTTCAAGGCTCCAGCAGTGACGTGACTCTTGAGGCTACAATGGCGTTGCAGGTTTGATTTGTATCAAGAAGGTATGTTATGAAATCCCAGAAAAGCACAGCACCATCAGAAGCGATGAGTATGGAAATAACGTGTAATTACTACGCAGACAGCCCGCAGAGATGTCACCAGGCGGTGCCAGGCAGAGCAGTGCACGAAGGATTTAATAGTATCCGAAGAGAACGAGATTGGTCATGATTTTCATCGAGATCTTGATGGCTTCGCGAGCACAATATCTTTGCTCTGTCCGTGCAGATCACAGAGTCCACGGCAGCATCTTTCAATGGAGCGCTCTATCCATGCTCTGGCCAGGCCGTAGCTAACGGAGAGAGCCGGGCCAAGCTTCGACACGTGCCTGGGAGCTGCTCCAAGGTTTTCTATATGGATGACTTTAAAGTTCTGTTTCTTTGATCAGAATCTACAAAAAAGAAAAAACAACGAAAAAAAAAGGAAAAGAAAGAGAAAGGGAGGACAGAACAAGAGATAGCTCTCGCTTCGCAATTTATGCTTGCCGCAGCAATTACACCACCAATATTGGCTGCGGGCCCAGAAATGGAAAAGGCCCCAAAAAATCCACGCGGGCAAAAAGCCACCCGTTTTTTTTGCTGGCACTATTTCCCACCCAGCCGTGTCCCGCCCGGCGCCTCAGGAGCACCATGGGCCCATGGGTGCATATTCTGGTGCTTCTGCCGCAACCTCATGCTCTAACCGGGCCGCAGCCTCAGATGCCAACAAATCACCCCACGCGGGCCTCGGTGCAGGCCCCGTCCTGCGAACGGCGCCAGATCTATATAACAGGGCCCGCCGCCCAGTAGGCCCGTTCGAACCACACCAAAAACAGCGCACCTAAAACAGCGCACCAAAAGCAGCAAAGCAGCGCCCCAAAAGCAGCGCCCATGTGCGACAGAGCCAGCATTATCCACGACCCGGCGCGCCCCATGCGGGAGAGAATGGAGGCGCTCGTGAGGTTGAAGCAACAGCAAATCACCGACGCCGTCCGGGCCGCAGACTGCGTGGATTTCCACACCGACACCTGGGAACGTGCCGAGGGCGGCGGCGGCCAGTCCATGGTGCTCCAGAACGGGCAGACCTTCGAGAAGGGCGGTGTCAACATCTCCGTGGTGCACGGCACGTTGCCGCCCCAGGCCGTGCAGAGAATGCGGGCCAACCACAAGAACCTCCAGGGCAGCAGCGACGGGTCCGTGGACTTCTTTGCGTGCGGGTTGTCGTTGGTCATCCACCCGCACAACCCGTTCGCGCCCACCACGCACTTGAACTACCGCTACTTCGAGACCACGGACCCCGCGTCGGGCGCCGTGACCGCGTGGTGGTTTGGCGGCGGCGCGGACTTGACGCCCGCGTACTTGGACGAGGCGGACGCGGCCCACTTCCACGCGCAGCACAAGGCCGCGTTGGACCGCTTCGACACGCTGTTGTACCCGAGGTGGAAGAAGTGGTGCGACGAGTACTTCTACATCAAGCACAGGAACGAGACGCGGGGCGTCGGCGGCATTTTCTTCGACGACTACGACGAGAAGGACCCCGGCGACGTGCTCCGCATCGTGGAGGCGTGCTTCGACGCGTTCGTCCCGGCGTACATTCCGTTGGTCGAGAGGCACAGGAACGACGCGTTCACGCCCGAGCAGAAGAACTGGCAGCAGATCCGCCGCGGCCGCTACGTCGAGTTCAACTTGGTCTTGGACAGGGGCACCCAGTTCGGCTTGCAGACCCCGGGCTCGCGCGTCGAGAGCATCTTGATGTCGCTCCCGGCCACCGCCAGCTGGGTGTACGACCACCACCCGGCGCCGGGCAGCGAGGAGGAGAAACTCGTCAAGGTGTTGCAGAAGCCCGTGGACTGGGTGTAGCGCCGCACCGCACGCCCGGGCGCCCTTGTATATACGTGCGCTTACATTAATAGAGGGCCGTGGCCGCAAGCCCCGGCGAACATGCGGACGCTGCGCCCGCCAAGCCTACTGCTCCGTGAAAAATTGATAAAGCGGGTCTACTGCTCTGTGAAACAACTATTAAAGCGGGCCTACTGCTCCGTGAAAAAACAGTATCAAGCGGGCCTACTGCTCCGTGGAAAAACAGTATCAAGCGGGTCTACTGCTCCGTGAAAAAACTATTAAAGCGGGTCTACTGCTCCGTGAAAAAAGATAAGTTATTTCTGTTTTAATGAATTAGGATTAAATTAATATTAAAGCGGCGCTACTGCTCGGTGGAGGAAAAATAAAAATCAGGCCGCCCCGTCCGGTGCGCTCTCGAGTGAAGAGTGGCCCCGCGGGCGCGCCTCATCAGTAGCCTCGAGGCAGGAGCCAGGGCCACCGAGCGACCAGCGCAGGCCCGGCCGGCCACTTCCCCGGTTGGGCCACGGCTTTCTTTTCTGGCCGTGCGGTCACGTGGCCCGTTTGGCCCGCCTGTTGTTGGCCTGCCCCGCCAAAAACCGAGCAGCCACGGGATGCTCGTTTGCTGGTGCCGGGAGGCTTTGCCAGGCCGGCCCGAGGGTGGGGTACCGGATGATTGGCGCATCGCGCGGCTTGAATTGCGCCTGGCACCGGTGGGAAACGTGCCCAATATTCCGCCAGCAGACGGCGCCGCACGTGCCCCGAATTGCACGCCCGCTGCTGCAAAACCCGGCGTTCATGCCCAAAACCAGACCCGGGCCCCGTACTCCCGAAACACAAAAAACAGCTTTTTTTGTTATCAATTTTACTGGCCTCCTGCCCCTGCCTAGCATGGCCCCATTCCCGCCTGCAATGCCCTATGCGAGGTCAGGTGGCCCGGCCCCAGCATACTTTTTTTTTCCCGCACCCGCGCCTTTGCTCGGGCTGCTTGTAGAATATTTTTTCCGTGGCCTATCCTACCAGGTCTCTTCCTGCCTTCCCCCCAAAACTCAACAGTCCTTACTCATATTTATGAAGCCATCGTAAGAAGTCTTGTTGTAATCTTTCCCAGCTATGGTAAGATTGATGGACCGGCGCCCTTGAATAACACACGTCCCTCCCCCTCTCTCCATTCTTGCTCCGAGTGGTCAAAGCATCGCTTATCTAGCAGACCACATCTACCCAATCCGCCGTTCTCTGCTGAACACCCCCAGCCACAAACGGCCCGCGCATCCCGCCCGCAATGTCCGACTCTGAAGGCTCCATCACCTCGTCCAAAATCCGCTCGGACTCCGTGGCCCAGCAGCGCACCGATGAAGTGTTGAACGACCACCGAAACCAGCGCGAAACACTCCCGCCACCCGAGGAAATGGCGGCCTCTTCCTCCAACGAGGCCGTGCCGTGGTCCAAGGTGCCCGCGGAGACACCGCTGCACCGCCGCGCCTCGAGGTCCCAATCTATCTGCGACCCCATCGAGGACCCAAGAGCGTCCAAAAAGTCAAGGAAGGCCAGGGCCAGCAGGCCCGACTTGCCGCGGATCTTGAAGATCAGGTCCAACGACTCGCTGGCCTCGGCTGACCCCAATGCCCGCACCCACTACTCGAAGAGAGAACGTAGACCGTCCAGATCTTCCGTGGACCTGGAGGCAGATTCCCACGCCTCCCGGTCTTCCCAGGAAACCGAGGAGGATGTCTGTTTCCCTATGCTCAGGGAGCACGTGAGAATCAACGGCATCGATTTCGACGAAATCGAGGACTTCATCAACGAGGAGAGGGAGAGCCAACAGCACGTCAAGGAGCAGGAGGCGTCGCTCGTCGAAAAGATGAGCCCTGGCGGCATCGCGCAGACCAGCGGCTCTCTTGCAGGCACGGCCAGTGTCAAGAGCAAAAACGCAATCAAGTATTCTCCCAAGAACATTCTCTTGAAAACATCCAATGCCTTTTCCAAGAAATCAAAGGCGTCTCCCGCAGAATCGTCGTCGGTTTATGACGCATCATGCAAGGCAAAGGCTTCGGACTCGTCTGAAGATGCGTTTGTCGACGACAAACACGACGACACCTCCTCTGACAATGTCAAGTTCGGAGGCACGAGAATCAACGACGGCGAGGTGGAGCTTCCAGATCGCTTTTCCTTCTTTCACTCCGATAACGAAGAAACAATCCATTCACCTGATCTCCCATCCTTGATCTCCCCCGGAAACACAGTACGGGAGCTCTTCAAGAATGGCGAAGGTACGTGGTGGTTGGATTGCACATGCCCCACTGATGCGGAGATGAAGACTTTGGCCAAAGCTTTTGGAATCCATCCTTTGACCGCCGAAGATATTCGCATGCAGGAATCCAGAGAGAAGGTGGAGCTCTTCAGAAACTACTACTTTGTTTGCTTCCACACATTCGAGCCCGACAAGGAATCCGAGGATTACTTGGAGCCCATTTATGTGTACATTGTTGTTTTCAGAGAAGGTGTTTTGACTTTCCACTTCTCCCCTGTCTTGCATCCAGCAAACGTTCGGAGAAGAGTCAGGCAATTGCGTGACTATGTTGATGTCAGTGCCGACTGGATTGGCTACGCAATGATTGATGACATCACTGACGGGTTCGCGCCAGTAATCACTGCTATCGAGTACGAGGCCGATGCTATTGAAGATTCCGTATTTGAGGCTCTATCAATCAACTTCAGCTCCATGTTGAGGAAAATCGGAGAATCAAGAAGAAAGGTAATGACCTTGATGAGACTTCTTTCCAACAAAGCCGACGTTATCAGAATGTTTGCAAAGAGATGTCAAGATGAAGCGTGGGCGATGCCTCCACACAACGTAACCTCACGTGTCAATTTGGCAGGCATGGCTGCTCCCCATGATGCCAATTCTACTGCTTCGCCCCCTCCGCCTACAAGTGGTATCAATTTTGGACCTCCCCCCGGTGCTCCCTCAAGCATGATGTCCCAAATCAATCCTTATTTTGGCCGTGTGCAACCCAGAGCAGACATTGCATTGTATTTGGGAGATATTCAGGACCACGTGGTCACAATGTTCCAAAATTTATCAGCATATGAAAAGATCTTCAGCAGATCTCATGCCAATTATTTGGCCCAATTACAAGTCGAATCTTTCAACTCCAATTTGACTGTGACCAAGATCTTGGGAAATGTCACCATGATCGGCACAATGTTTCTTCCTTTGAATGTGATCACTGGTTTGTTTGGAATGAACGTAAAAGTGTTGGGCGAAGGCCAAGAAGGTTGGTTTTGGGGAATCATTGGCTTCATGGTTGTTTTGGTCGTGGCATCGTTCGTCGGTGTGAAGTATTGGTTGCGGAAGATGGAAGCTCAGGCTGAAGACAAAGAAACTTCAAAGAAGTCAATCAAGAGCTTTAGTTTGAAAAACAGGAAACGAGAAGCAGCCAAGTCTATCTTGAGTTTCCCTAACAGATATGATTAGTCACATGTCAATTAATTCTGGTTAATTTATTCGGATGTGTTGTATTATATATATGTATTTATTGTGAAGGCAGGATAAATGGGAAGACGATCACTGTTTACTTTTTTGAGCTTTTTTTGCTTTTCTTGAATGATCGTTCCTCTGTTTCATCCTCATTGGGGATCCAAATCTCATCATCCTTTTCGTTTTCGTGTCTCGCAGGTCCTTCTCTATTCTTGAACACCTCATGTCTCCACTGTTGCAAATGCTTCTTCTTCGTGAACTTTCTTTTGTCTTTCAATGCGGCATCTTTGGGCTTGTATGGCGCAAATTTCTTGATGCTGATAAGCTTATTCAAGTCCAGGTCGTTGGCCAAGAAGATTTCCCGTGTTGACAACCCAAAGCTCTCAGGAGAAACCTCCCTATACTTGAACTTCACGTCACCTTCTTTTGACCGACCTCTTTCTTCCTCGATTTCTTCTCTGATTTTGAGTGTGTTTGCATCAACAATTTTCTGCGCTTTCTCTTTCAAAGACTTCTTATCTTTCTTGATTAAGTTTTTCTCCTTGAGCTTCTCCTTCTTGCTCTTGGGCTTTTGAGCTTGATCACTGGCGTTGTCTTCTTCGTTCACGTTTGATTCGACCTGCTCACCGAGAGGCTCGTCTTCTTCACCTACGTCTTCACTCTTGCCCTCTTTCAGAGCATGGAATTCAGCCATGATCTCGTCGTCGTCGCTCCATTCAGGCTTAGTTATCTCGGAGCCGTAGTACTGCTCGTTGAAGATTTCAGCCATACGACTATCCCAATCAGCATCGTCGAAATCATCATTCAACAAAGAGTCTCCGAAAACCCTCTCAATTACCTCGTCACTGATATCATCGCCAACAGCTTCCTTGATCTTGTTTAGCCTGTCCATGACCTTGTTGACTTTATTGGTTTTCTTTTTCTGCAAAGCTTGCTCGATCTCGTGTTTTTCTTGTTCTTTAAGAGCAATCTTCTTGTCTCTGGCCCTCTTTCGAGAGTTGGTCTTTCCTCTTCTCAAAGAAGCTTGTGTACGAGCATAAGATACAATTTCGGCAGAGTTGGGGTCCTCGTATCTAAAGTTAAAAGCTTTTTCAAAGTCTTCAACGGCGTCATCGAAATCTTGTTCGTCGTCTTTGTCTATCTCATCCAAGTCGATAACTTTGTCGTTCTTCTTCGGAATCCATGCCTCATTACCAAGGAAAGACAGCAAAAAATCTTCTGGGTGTGCTTTCAGATCAGGTAAAGGAATGGGTGCCTCTTCTGGACCGGCCTGGCTTTTTTCTTTCTTTTTTATGAAGTCATCTTCATCTTCATCCTCAAACGCATCGTTGATGTCCGCGAGAAGCTTATTTCTTTCCTCCCTTTCAACCATAGCATACGGCTTTTCTCCATCAACAGTTCCATACTCGCTCTCAGGTTCATTCTTGTAGTCGCCAGATAACAAGTTCATTCTGTGATAGTCTTTCAAGTAAATAGGCTTATCACCCGCTTTTCTCTCAACTGCTGTATCATTGTCCTCGAAGAATTTTGTGTTAGGGTCCAAGAGCTTTTTTGGATCTTTTTTGAGTGTTTCCATCACCTGCTGAATCAGCTTCTCCACATTTTCTGTCAATAACTCTCCATAATCATCCTCAATCTCGGAGTCTGAAGATTCCGATCCAGACGCAGAGTCATTCTGTGGCTGCGTGGTGTGATCTATAGCTTCCTGATTTTCCAGCTTTTCTGGCTTACCAGAATTTTCCTGTGCTTTTTTGGTGGCAGACTTCTTTCTCGGCATTCTTGGATTTGTAGCTATAAAATGTTGGATTCCTTGTACCTCATCGCAGTTCTATGTACTGTGCATGGCGCGAAGAGATTACTTGAGGAATGCCCCAGAACACCCATGGAACATTAAAGACAACTAAAAACATATAAAAAGCATTATTGGAGTAGGATATAATTTATGAGAAAAATTAAAAGGATAACATGAGAGCACGTATGTTGAAGCTACATGTAATTTAACATTTTGCAGCCACATCATCACAAATGATTGGCTCAGGAACAATGCGCCTTATTCTACTTCTGTTTTGGACTCATTTCATGTAAAAATTCACAATTTGAATAGAGCCGGCTGGTGCCCAAGATTTAATTCCGCTGCTCTCAAAGTTTCATACCACCATTTGTACGCAATTTCACATCTATTGAGGTCCAAGTTCTCACTAAGGCACTTCCACAATTTGCCAATCAAGAAATTCTGTTCTTCTTTATTGCTGGACATGATAAGTCTCCAAATTTTGTTAAGCCAGTGTATGAAAACACTCATGGGAAGGTAAGGCACAACATTCATGAAAGCCATTATGATACCTTCCCTAGATGTATTGGGGGTTTCTCTGATCCCGAAATTCTCTGTGGGGTCATTTCGAGCAGTTGAAAACACATCAATGTATGCCGCATCTCTTGGTTTTTCACCTTTGTTGTCATCAATTATATTAGTGGTTCCCGAGTCATCCTTGAGCTGAGACATGGTCGAGGATGCCTCGATCTCAGAAATTGGTTGTGCCGAGTTAAATAAAACGACCTTAGGGTTCTCAATACTTTGACCAGGAACTGTGTCAAAACACTTGTTATAAACAAAGGATAAGAATTCATCAATGGTATTCTTGTAAAGTGAGTTGTCGTAGCTCATAGAGTGTGCCATAATTTTTTTACCCAAAGTTTCAACCGCTACACTGAGTTGATAGGCAGAGAGCCGTTGAGGAAACTGGCCAATGAGGAGTTCAAAGTATTGCAAGACCTTTTGCATGTTTTCTCGGCTGTTCTCCATCCCTGAGAAGTAAGACAACATTACTGAATGTCCTGCTTCACAAAGATCATCATCTTGGAGATAAGGATCTTTGACGATATCAAACGTAGTTGCGTAAAGATACTCTAGAAATTCTTTATCTTTCACATGGGACTGCTGCAAGTAATTTTCCCATAAGCCAAGTACAAAAAGCACTTTGCATCTTGCAACATAGCTGCAATTGAGGGTTTGTGGGTGTAAGTTCACTTCGTAGTTCCCGATTAACAAGCGAGAAAAGTATTCGAATCTCTTGGGACTATTGTTTTGCAAGACAATCTCTAATGCCACATAATAAATGAAGTTGTATCCATCAAAGCCACCCTGACCAATCGCCATCAAAATAAAGTTGAGATAATAAAGACAATGGAGCATTGTGGAGCAGATTTCTCTGTACTGGCATTCAAATCTAGAACTATGTTTCTTCGAAGAGAAAAATTGAGATAAAAGCCCCCTTTTCTTCAGGGACAAAAACCTCGAAATCATACCCTGAAATATGAGAACTTGTGAGAACAAAATACTCTTCATCAAAAACCAGTATTGTTGTGCGAACATATCGCCGTCTTTAAGATTTTGGGTCCCCTTATTGAAAAACTCTTGCGATTCCGTAAAATAATTAATCTTTCGATCAAAGACTAAAATCAAGGCGACAGATTCACAGACAAGATCATGTGATTCAGGACTGTAATCTAAATCCTGGAAGAGTTTTTCTAGTAAAAAGGACAAACGATTCAAATGCTTAACCGTCGGGTGTTGGAGGACATTTCGGGTAAGGAGCTGCTCAATGTTTTTATCATTCGGGCTACAATGAGCGAAAAACCCATAAATTTGTGCACCACCGCTAGGTCCATATAAGAGGTTTGTGAGCTTTCGAATGACTAATTTTGAATCAGCTAACCCGAGATAATCTTGCAAGGTTCCAGAAGGTTTATAAATCAATGCCAGACTGATCAAAGAAAGATTCACAATATCTATGTGGGCTGTTCCCAACATGGAGGTTTGAAAGCTTTTGGCAAAAAGCGAGCGCATTGAAGAATCAAAGTCAGAGAAAAACCAGCGGTGTTCTATAAAACTTGGAAGTAGCTGATCGCGGCAAGTATTGGCAAGTGAGATGCCTGCAATAATTGGCAAGACCTTCCAGCTATTTTTGAGTGGGTCGAAAAGCGCAAAGTTGTGGAGCTCTTTTTCGAGCACTCGGTAGAAGGCCTTGACGGGTAATGTTGGCTGGGATACCTTGAGTTTCTTCTCTGTGATGAGTTTAAATACTTCAATTATTAAGTAGTTGTCGACAAATGACGGCAATTCAGCGCCAAAACATACAGGATTGTTCAAAAAACTTGCAAGCACAATCCTCAAGTTGTGTTCATGCTTCACATATGGTAGGTAGTTGTATAGATAACCCAAGACATTTTGCACTGTCAAAGATGGGTTGGGGCTGCGTAGAGTGTTTACTAAATAATCTAGCTCCAGAGGCGTCTGCAATTGATGTGGAAAGGCGTCCATTCCCAAAATAGAACTTTTAATACAAAGATAAGAGTTCGAGAGACTGTTGTGGAGTGTGGAGAAGGGAGGAGGAGACCGAGGTCGCGGTATCGCGAAAACGTTCTTTTCTCCGCACGACGTATTTTCACTACGTAACGAATATCGAAAGATGTATCATTCTCGAAGAACAGAATCGACGAATACTTGTCAGAGTCTCATGCCTGTAAAAAGCACGCACACCCCTTGCAGAATAAACGAGACATGTGAATGCGGCATCTTTCTCGCGAACGTGAATTGAGAGTCTCATACGGGGAGAGATGTAGAAGTTTTTTCCAATGACACTATTCCAGATAGAGTGGAATCGAGAAAATCGCTCAAAACGAGTCCAGATTTCTGGATCTGTAGTTTCAGAAAAGTCGTCCCCAGCAATATTGGGCACCGTTTCAAGGTTGGTAGGGCCAGGTGCAAATCTGGGGCTAGCGCGACTATTTGGTGTGTCCATCGGCAACAGATATTTGACTCCGTCACTCCGAATTCTTCACAAATGGAATAATTTGGCCTATGAACTTAATTTGTCTGTTGAAAAATACAGTGAACTAAGAATTATATAAAAGAAACCCAGTTGGATATTGAGTACTGCAAGTCTCGATCATCAGACGTCACAGCTGGCCAATGGAGCTCCCAGAAATAGTGGCGCGTTAATAAAGGCCGAAAAAAAAATCGCCTCATTCGAACTGGTCTGATCATCGGAAGTCATACACTCATGAACATTGCATACACAGAACAATATCAATCCGTTTAATTGTGTCTGTCATATTTTGAAATAACCATTAATCCAATTTTACGAATACTAGGCATCTTGACCGAGGCTCATACCCACTGTATATACTCATGAGCTTCCACCATGCCTCGCCCATTTCCCTTGATACGAAATTTCAATAATCTAGTGTGGAACCTAAAGCACTACCAGCCATCGTCACGACGGCCAGCTTTTAGGGCTTCCCGACATCCATTCTGTACAAACATGCAGCTTCGGGACGTATCGTATGCATATTGGTTTGAAGAAACAGCCAGGGATTTAGGTGAGAAGCTTGTATCAAAGAAGACAAGGTCATCGAAGAGCCATGCGGAAACAAAACCTCAAAAGATCTTGGTCGAAAATGCTAAACCAACGCCTGTCTTGGCATCAGCACAGATATCTTTGGAAGGCACGAGCAATCCAAGGACAGATGAACAACCCGAAATCTCCCGCGAGGAAATTGAGATTGTACGCTTGTTTCAACTGGGTGAAAACCTCCAGATGTACACGAGGCTTCAGGAGTACAAGAATCAAGGAGTTGTTATCCCAATTGGGCTTCTTAACGAGATGGCTTCGAGGGTGTACGACGATCTACCGACAAATAGCGTGGATACCTACATTCTCCAATCTGTGATAGAGCCGCCAGCATTCTTTTTGCAAGATGATCTACGGTATTCCAAAATGTACAAAAATATTCTGTCCCGCTTGAGCTACCTTCATAAAAGCTTTGTGCTCTATGAGTCTGTCGGCCTTGACAACGAGAAATTTTTGCTGCACTATATCTGGCTCTGTTACCATCAGGGGGATCTACAGAAGCTTCAGAAGTTACTCTACCTTTACCTCAAGTGCCAGACTTATGATTCGCGTACTTTGAGTTACGTGATCAATGCATTTGTTTACAACTACGATGTGCAATTCTCCAAGACGTTGTTCGATAGTGTTGTTGCAATGAAAAAGCCGCTCTCGGAAGCTCTCATTTCATCTACGCTAGTGGCTTTTGTGAAAGTGGGTGCTCTTTACGACAATTTGTATGATGTTTTCCAAATTTGGCTCACGTCAGACAATTGCGAGAGCCCCTATCCCAAGACCGTTGCATTACTTGTTGAACAAACCTACAAGTTTGGTACAGAAAAAGAGACTGCACTAGTAGATAAGCTCTGTGAAGCGTTGGACTATAACAACAACTCCCTTGTTCAAATGGCGAGAGATCAGTCCAGAATCTTGCGCAGGGATCCCAATCAAAAAAAGAGCTTGACATCAGATGACGTAAACCAGATTTTAGAAGTGAGAAACGCCCTTGGAAACTCGAAGCATGCTTTAAAGGTTTACTACGAATCTTACATCCGGTTTTTTGGTAAATACTGCACCATGACAATGGTACAGCTTATTCTTAAAGAAATGAAGAAAGATCAAATACCCATATCCAAGTTTGCATACGATTCAATCATCCAGCATTATGTTGCGAACTCGAAGTTTGTCCAGCTATCTAAGTTTATGGACCGGTTCGTTTCAAAATATATTAACTTCGAGCCTATTTATATCAAGCAGCTTTTTGAAGCTTTCATCAAAACATATCCTTATCATGGTGAAGAGTTCATGCATACCTTCCATGAGTGGCTCCAAAAGAACGAAAACCTTTCAGCAGAAGAAAAAACGATAATTGGGCATGAATGTCAAATCACCACCAACGGATCAAAAATGACACCTTGCGCAATGAAGAGAAAAGTTTTGGAGAACCACAAGAAGTATGATCAGTCAGGTTGGTCCAATATCAAACAGTCGAGGGGAAGGCCAATTGCCAAAGTGCAAAAGAAACACCAGATTCAATTTAGATTGATCGAAGGAATACGAGGAGTGATGAGGAAAGGAATCCGACCAGACTATCATATCATAGAGAACACACTCAGAAATCTGAACGCTTCCTTGCGTATTGGGATTTTGGATACGCTATCAGAAATGAGAATGAACGATTGTGCTACAAGATTGCAGATTCATCACTTTTTGTTGGGATACCCTCGGAAAACCGACTTTTCCAAGTTCGTCGCGGACACGATAGACAACATGAGTACAAGCGACATGTTGTTGTTGGCCCGCAGAAGCATGAACAGTTATGATTTTGAGACGACGTCTTTACTATTAAATTCCTTGAAACACGTGGACATGAGCGACGGCAGGTATATGATAAGCCTCAACTTGAAGCTCCGCAATGGTATTTTCGAAAATGACTTTGACGGAATCGTGGCAGAGATTGAGAGATTCCCGATCGATGACATTACGCTTAGTCCCTACATCTACGACCAGTGCCGCTACATCGAGAAGATTATAGTCAGGAGGATCCAGGTGCACAAAGAAGAGGAAGAGTCACGCCTTGGGGCTATGAATCTTGCCTTGGAGAAGTTGCGGGGCCTAATTGGAGATATACAAGTTCGGTTGAAGAAGGACGATGCGGACATACGCGCATTGATACAAGACTCGTTTCGGGTGTTGAACAGCTGGATCCAGCAGTCCAGGGATCACGACGAGAGGAAAACATGACCCGGGTGATCCAGAGCGATTCAGCATATCATGACCCACGCCCCCTACATACATTGTCTCAAGCAACATTCACCTCATCTTTGTTCGCGTATAGACCTGATGGACCTCCCGGTTTCACCAGAGGCGGCGTGCGAGCCCACATTCTGGTACTTTGCATACTTGTCTTTCACCGAGGGGTCAGGGGCCCTGGCACTAGACAACGACGGGGGTTGAGACGTCGAAGCATAGGCCGTCATGGCCGGATGGCGCAGGATGCCCGGGTAGTGGTCAGAGTCTGTCGCTGGTCTCTTTGCACCCGCCGCCGGAGAGTACCTGTCCGGATGCGGTCTCTTCTGGAACCTTGGTGGTGCGGCGGGCAGCTGATAAGGGTTTTGAGAAAGATTGAATCTGCGTCCCGAAGCAGCAGCAGAGGCGTCCTTCGGGTGGAGGGCACTCGGCAGTGTGTAGTGGCGGCCGCCCAAGCCGCCGTCCAACCGCCTGGGTCTCCAGCTGCGTATCAAACGCCCACGTTCCATGTCCACTAGTATTGTTCTCCTGGTGGAAGAGCCCTTTGGCGGGTCCACAGCCAAGCCTGTGGGAGCCAACTCGTGGATGCAGTTCTTGGCGTCCGCTTCTCTTTCGAAGACCACAAACCCGTAGCCACGCGACGCGCCCGTCTCGGTGTGCCTGACGATTCTCACGGAGTCGATGCTGCCGTACTGGGCAAAGGCTTTCGAGAGGTCAAGTTCCGTCATCGAGTAGTAGAGACGGGCCACGAACACCGTGCGGTATGGGTCTTTCAAGAACTTGTTTTCTGCGAAAGCCTCGGTGTCCTCCCACTCGTGGAGCTGGCGCCGGCGGGACTCGGCGAGCCGTTCTTTGGCCGAGAGCTGGTGTTGAACCAGCGGGCCCGTCTGGCCGTATTGCGCCTTGTACTGCTCGATATGCAGTTTCCATTTTCTCAGCAGAGTGATGAAAGGGGACGCCCTTGTTTCGGGCGGATGGTCGATGGGTTTCTTGTATAGAAGGGGGAGCCGGGGGGCGAAGAGCTTCTGTATTTTCGGGGGGTACTTCTCGCTTTCGTCCGCCTATTGGTTAGTAAGACACTCAGAGGAGCGGGCTACGATGGGGGAGCCCAGAGCGTTTCGGGGCCAGGACGTGGCGCCGTGGCTACATACCATTTTGGGGAGAGCTGCTGTGGCTGGGTTTGCAGGTTTGGGTTTAAAGGTGGGGGTTTGGAGGGTGGGGTTCGCAGGTTGGGGTTTGGATAGCTGGGGCCGGTCAGTGTCTGGTGACGCGAGCGATGGGGCCTCGCATGCAGTGGGGGTCTACAGGGCGCACGGCCAGGAAAGCCCAGGCGGCGAGACATGGCTAGACCGACGAGCCATGTCCGGGAAGAAGACGAGGTCGGAGCAGCGGGGGAAAACAGACCAAAAAAACAAAACAAAACAAAAAAAACAAAACAAAAAAAACAAAACAAAACAGAACTAAACTAAAAAGAGAGCAGAACACAAAAAACAGTCCGCAAGTCACTGCGCAATAAAGCACGCCTGGCGCTCGCTGGCCCGGGCCAAGCTCCGCCCGCCGCGGCGCCTCGCACATTCTAGGGCCAAGCTCCCAGCGTCCTGCACCAGAAACGGCGCCCGCCCGCAGCCTGGCCCTGGGGCCTCCTGCTCCATAAACCACCAGGACGTCAACCACGGCGCGGCCCCGCTCGAGCATTTTGGCCCCAGCACGCGGATCCCAGTCCACACGCCGCCCGACCAAACGCCGCCGATAATAAGAGCCAAATCCGCCCGAGCCAACTCCTACCGAGCCAACTCCGACCGAGCCAACTCCGACCGAGCCAACTCCGACCGATTTAAGTCCGACCGATTTAAGTCCGATCGAACCAAGCCCAACCGAACCAAGCCCGACCTACCGCCATGGATTTCGTCCCGGACGCCGTGCAGCAGGAAACCGAGGCCTACAATTCCGAGGTGGACCTTCTCACGCTCCCCATCTATACCCGGGCGCAGCTCCGGCAGTACAACGGCCAGGCCCGGCCGCAGCTATTTGTGGCCATCAAGGGGTACATCTACGACGTCACCCGGAACGAGCTGAGCTACGGCGCCGGCAAAATCTACCACCAGCTCGTGGGCAAGGACGTCAGCAGGCTCTTGGGCCTCAACCGGCTCCAGCTCAAGCCCGAACCCGGCGCGGAACCCGGCGCCGCGCACAGCAACGAGTGGGACTTCAGCGACCTCACCGAGAAACAGCGGCGCACGCTCGACAAATGGGTGTTGTTTTTCAGAAAACGCTACAGAATCGTGGGCGTGGTGGTGGACTACCAGCCCCGCACGCACGCCGTGGAGCCGGACGCCTGCATCAACTAGAATACGGGGTGTTCTTTTTTTTTTTTTCAGAAACAGCGGCGTCTTGTCTCGTCCAAGCGGAATCCCACGAAACCACGGCGTGGGTGTGTGGCCCCGGGCGGGGCCCCAATATATATATTGTGTCCAGATCCGCCCGCTCGCGGTCCGCTACATGGGCCGCGCTGGCTGGGGTGCGCAGTTCCCGGTCAGTGCGCACCCATTCAGGCGTGGTTCTAGAACGCGGGCAGAGGCTCCAATCCACAGGCCGCTCCCGCCGCCTAGCACCGGTGGGGGCGTGGCAGCGGCGTCACGGCCGCATGGCATAAAACACAGGTTTTGGTTTGTGTTTTTTGCAGCCTTCTCCGGCCGCTGGCCGGGTGTCCCGCAACAGGGCCTGGAACATAGTAAAAGTGCTCCGGGGCCGCGTTCTCTGCCTCCACAGGCGGTGCGACGCCCGCCCCGCCCAAAAGGGAAAACGCCGAGAAAACCGGCGTGCAAGCTGAGATTATTGCACTAATATTGCGCCAGCACCATCATGGCGCCACAGCAATAAACGACGGATGTGGCCGCAACAAGGCACAGCGCCGGCCGCACGTGGCCCCGTAGTCCTCGGGCCCCTGCTTGGCGCTGCGGCTTGCAGGCCGTCTTTTCTCCCGCCTCTTCGTGGTGCGGCAGAGGCCGGACGTGTAGAGCCTCTCATTCTCGCCCTGGCCCATCGCCCCAATCATACCGCGCTAGACGCAGTGCCAGCCCGCGGCAGCAGACACTCTCTTTTCTGCGGGTCTAACTAGCAGGTGCACGTATCTGGCCCAAGCATACCTCTTTTTTTTTTCCGTGCTGGGCAGGACATACCCCGTTTTTTTCTTTCTGTTAAACCGCCGGCCACGCTGCCAAAACCGCCCGACTTTCCGCCAGCCCACCACCCCGCCAACCACACCCCTCCCGGCCCGGCCCGACGCATCTCCTGTCTACATCCCACCATGGATTCTTCCAAGGCACAGCTCCGGCTGCAGCTCTTGGCCAATGAAACGGGGCTCCCCGAAAACCCCCAAGTCAGCACAATGTCGGCGTTTGCCGCCCAGGGCCGGATGCAACACCCCGCAATGCCCCAGATTTACAATCCCAACGGCCCGCCCATGGCGGACCCCCGCATAGGGGCGCCTCCAAACAACGCCAGCTATTCCAACCACGACTTGATCACGCCCGTGCTCGAATCCGCCGCTCACCCGAGCGGGCCCTCGTCCCGGAAGGCCTCGATGAACTCCATGTCCATGCAACGCTTGTTCCGCCGGAAAGGCAACCTGGGAGGCAAGTTCGACGATGAACTCGGAGCGGACATTGGCGACATGGCCAACACGAACATGTCGTTCAACGACATTGCCCACCTACGCGGTGCGGGCAGGTACAACACCTCCGCCATGGGAAACCTCGACACGGCCCCCATCATCCCGGTCGTGGGAATGCCCGGGTCTGGTGGCGCCAAGGGCCTCAACAACGTCCAGTACCGCAAGCACATGAACCACCAGAAGAAACTCAACTTGGCGCAGAGCGCGCGGGCCATGTCTCTTGCTGGCGGCGGCAACCCCATGGTGCAGCAAGACCCCAGATCCATGTCGTTCACGAACGCACCCAACACGCGCGCCAACTCCTTGGGGACCCCGATGAATGGCATGGGGGGCCCCAATTCTCGCGCCATGTCGCTCAACTCCAATGCCATGTTCAGAGGCCCGCAGAATGGCACATACTATGGCCCGGGGCCCGCCATGCAGAGACCGCTCCCGGGGATGAACGGGCAGTACGCGCAGCCACACTACGGGCCTCTGCAGAACAACGGTCTGTTCCAAAACGGCCTGTTCCAAAACGGCCCGCCCCAAAACGGCCCGCCCCAAAACGGCCCCTATATGGGTCAGCAGGGTGGCCAGGGCCCGCCACAACATAATCAAATGCACATGAATGGACCTGGAAGCCCGCAGTTCGCTTACCAAAGAAATCCACACACCATGTCCTTGCGCTCAGGCGCCTCGCCATATAATAGAAACGGTCCTCAAGACCCAAGATCAAACTCGTTAAACAGCGCAATGCCCATGGTATCTGCGCAGAGGCAATATGGGCAATACGGTCAAAACACACAGCCAATGATGAATGGTGCTGGGTATCCACCGCAAAAGAATCCCATGGGACTTGGCACCAGTGTTTCGCAGAACGCATATCAACACAACGGTTCTAACCCGCTGACTCCCGGCTTTGAGCAGTCACAGTCGCCACATCAGTCGAGCAAACTTCCTCCAGCCACAGAAGCCTCCACAGATTCTTTGATGAATGTTTTAGAAGAGGACGAGGATGAAGACATGGCGAAAGGTTCATCAAGCGTAAAATCAAGTCATTCGCTACTCAAGCTTGGTTCTTCCGCAAACATCTCGTTGCCGTTGTCTGTGCTGAACTCTGATGATGAACACGTCTACAACTTTGAAAACCAGGACAGCCCGCAGATATCAAGAAAGTCTACTCTTAAGAAGTCCAACTCGATGCGCGTACGGAAACTTGACTTATTTAACACACATTCAAGAAGTACCCTCGATCCCGGCTCCTCGAAGAAGATCATCGAGACCGAAGATCCCGAACAAAGCGTCATACCAGCCGAGCTCGAGAACTCCGACTTTGAAAGGCCATTGGCAGGTGAATCCTCCGAATCGGTATCGAAACAAAAGAAATTCGAAGATCATACTGTGCCCGAGACGGCAGAAGCTGCTAGAATGAAAGTCGACGAAGGAACCAGCGCCTCAGAGCCTGTCCGAAAGACTGAAGCCATCAAGCTCAAAAGCTTGACCAGAAATACAGTTTTCGGAATGTTTCGCCGATCTTCTGCGGTATCGCAAACGGAGTCTGACATTATGCCCGCAGCTGATGGCGCCAAAAAAATCACAGAAGAGCCAAAGACTGACACTCTGTTACCAGAAGAAGTTGTTCAAACTGATTCCCTCTCAGTGAATTCCCGTGGGACTCACTCAAAAGAATTAAGTGAATCACCAAGCAATGTGTCTAGCTATAGCACAGATGCTGCCAAAAAAACTGAAACGAATTCAACTCAGGATTCAATTGATTCGCTCCAAGACCGGTTGTCAAAACTGAAGATCTCAAGTGAAAAGCCAGAAGATGGCGATCTGAAGCAGGATCATCATGATCGATCTGTTTTGCCCAAAGTACGTCAAAAGCACTCTGTGGTTTCACTGTCAAACTCGTCCAATGACGTTTCAAATCAGTCGCCTGCTGTGAGAGGGATGTCATCTATATCGAGATCTAATTCAGAGCTTAAAATGAAAGGCCTTGTTCCGTCTAGTGTTCTCCTTCAGGCTGATGCTGGTGATAAGATGACGGAATTGCCAGAAGCGAGAGGCGAGAAAAGAAAATCAATCCAGCTGAAATCCCGCAATTTGATGAAAAGACTTTCTCTTACCAACTCCAGAAAATCAGTGGCCGAGGAAAGTGAGCGAATTGATCAAAATTTTGGAAGTAGAAGAATTTCTTCCTTACCCAATCAAAAAAATACCAGGCCCCTTGTGTTCACAAAGGAAGAGCTAGCTATCATGACATGTAACCAGGAGCTACAGAGTGAATTACAATTGGTAACAAGCGAGCTTGCCTTTTCGATCAAGCGCGAAATAGCTTTGGAAGCCAAGATTAGATCTAAATCACGGCTTCCCGACAGCTCCGATTCAAGTAAACTGGCCTCAACTGATTCCTTAGAGAGATCGAAAACCATAAGTGAACTACAGGAGAAATTGAACAAAGAAAGAAAGTTGAGATTCATCAGTGAGGAGCATGCGATCCTCGCAGAGCATGGCCAGAGTCCCAGTGCTCTAAAACTAGACTATGAAAAAAATGAAATTTACAATCAATTGTTGGCCAAGAACGACATGGTTATCCAATTGCAGGACAAACTCGACGATATAGCTGCGACCCAAAGCAAAGATGTTGGAAATGATCTAGTTGGCCGGTTCAATGATCTTTTAAAGGAAAACGCTGCTCTTAAATCGAAACTAGAGAAGAGTGAAGCCGAAACAAACTCACATTCTGGCTCAGGCTTATATCTGACGAAAGCAACTCCTGAGGAATTTTATCACGAGTGTGATCAAGCTGCAATTATGTCGTTGAAAACCCAAAGGGACGAATTGAGGGACACGATCACAAAAATAACATCATCTCGAAATGTCGAACTCAAAGTGGCTCAAGAAAAGATAAAGATCTTGGAAGCCAAGCTCGAGAAAGTGAACTCGATCAATTCCAAATTGAGCAAGAGAATGGAAAAGTCAGTTTCTTCAAATGGCTCTGCCCACTTTACCAGTGGGCAGGGAGGCAAGCTCCAGGGATTTTCGATAATCGCACCCTCCAAAAAAGTCCTCGACGACTAAAGACAGATTACTTAGCGTCCATAACTCTCGATAAAAAGATTTATTTTCAATAAACTAGAATTGAATGTGTGATTCTATAAATTCCTGAATAACTTTTCCAACAATAGGACCCTGGTTTTCTAAATTCCTGGTGTTATAAGTCAGACGCTCAAATACACCCTTGTCTATCTTCTGTTCCTGAGCCATGAGCTCGAGTAGGTTCAAAGACTCCGCAGTGGTGAACTCGGGATGGCCCTGGAAGGTGAGAACCTTGATTGGGCCCGACTCCGTGATGAGTCCCTGAATAGAGCATTTGGCAGTGCTTCCGAGATTTTGGAAGGAAGTGCCGGATAGTAAAGAATGCGTGGACGCTGGCGGCATTCCATAGACGATATCACGGTGGAACTCCACGAGATTGATGTGTTGCAAGATTTTGCCGTCCTCGGTCTTCAAGGCAGAGCGGAACGGCGACCCCGGGATGTCCAAGATGCTTTTGTTCAAGGAGATGGTCGTTGTTCCTGCCTCCCAGCCGTTCTCGGGCGAGTTTCGGTTCACCTTGCAGCCCAAGTTCTTGGCCAAGATCTGGTGGCCGAAGCACAAGCCCACCATGGGGAAGTTGGGCGTGTTGAAGAGCGTTGTCTGGATGAACTTGTCGAGCGGCGCGATCCAGGGGTGGTTCTCCAAAAACGAGTCCGTTCTGGAGCCGGTCAAGATGGCCCCTTTGATCGCCCCGTCTCTGATTCCCTCCGACAAGGCAGAGAGCATGCGCTGGCAGCCCTGCGCGTTTTGCTCGGCACGATCCGCCATGGTCACATCAAACGCAACCTGGTATTTCACAAAGCCACATTTGCTCCGGCCCAAGAGAGAGATGGCATTGTCCCCAAAATCACCAAAGGTCTCGGCCACCCCTGCGATGGGGGTATCTAAGACAAGCACAGCCACGTGCGGTTCCATGATGGACAGCTGTTAAGCAGGAGAGGGCGGGCAGAACGGGAAGCAAGAAAAAAAAATTCCGGGTGCCAGTGGAACAGACGGATCAGCCATATTTTTTCTCTGGGATTTTCCTCCCGGGGCCTGATTTTCCTGGATCCTGGCTGGGGCCTCGCGCGGGGCCAAGCCCACGAATATTCTGCGCGGCGCTGCCGACTGTTTTCGCACGGGAGAGGCACGGGGCCGCGCGCCGGCAGTTCCTGCTGTTGCGAGGCCCTATTGTTCAGCTTGGGCTACTGTTCGGGCGCTCTGGATATTTTCGGCGACGCGCAGGGCCATTGGTAAAAGGGCGCTTTTTGCCTGCTGCGGCTCGGGCATGAAGACACTTTCGATGCTGTTATGATATCATATCATAACAGGTGCCCACTGAAGATTTGGCGCGTGGCAGTGCCCGTGCTCCGCCGTGTCTTTCTTGCCCACGAAGGGCTTGGCTCTGCCGGGCCGGCGCTCGCTTTCGCGGGGCACTCTGGGCCCCGCGCCTCCGCTCTGACTTAGGGGCCGGGCTCGCGCGTGGCTTCCCGCCTGCCTCCTCTATACGGGCCGAGCGCTCGCTGAGGATGGCATGTTCGGGCCCGCACGGTCAGTTTTTTTTTTTGGACTTGTCGCGCCTGGCTGGTCACCACGAAAAGCCAGACAGCCCGTCCCTGCAGTTTCATTCCAGCACCGGAAAAAAGACGGCCTTGGAGGGAAAAAAACACGCTCTTCGGTCTCCTCCGTACATAGTTCAGCCACAGGCCTTTTGCAGAAGTTCTCCGTTCTTCCACTCAGCCGCAGCAGATCCCAAGCATCTCTGCTCAAAGTCTCCCATAAGTACCTGGCCACCAGTCTTCGTAGAGCAACCTCAGCACGCCTGGCACAGCCAACAATCACCGGGTTTTTCTAAGCGGTAGCCTTGCAACGCATCCTCGCTTGAACACGCCCACCGCGCCTGCCGCTTCCACATAACGCGTCTCTAGACATGGACGGAATCCAGAGGTCCGACGAGCGAGCGGCCGACTCCGACTCCATCAACCAGGCCAACGGCGGCGCCCCTATTTCAAATCTCAGTGCAGGCTTGAAGTCCGTGTCCCTTAGCGACCAGCAGCAGAATGCCGTCAACTTGAACTTGCTACAGCAACATCTCCACAACGAGACCTCGGAAAGCCCGCTTCTGCAGTCCAGAATCAGCTGCTTTTTCGCCAACCAGCCCACGGAGGGGTACACGCTTTTCTCCCACCGCTCGGCGCCCAACGGCTTCAAGGTTGCCATAATATTGCTGGAGCTCGACTCGCCGTTCAACACCATTTTCTTGGACTTCAACTCCGGCGAGCAGAGGGCCCCCGAGTTTGTCTCCATAAATCCAAACGCACGCGTGCCCGCCTTGATCGACCACTATAACGAAAACACGTCCATCTGGGAGTCCGGCGCCATTGTGTTGTACTTGGTTTCGAAGTACGTGAAGGAGCGTGGCGACTGCCCGCTCTGGTCCAACAATCTCGTGGAGCAGTCGCAGATCTCCTCCTGGCTTTTCTTCCAGACCTCTGGCCACGCGCCCATGATTGGCCAAGCCTTGCATTTCAGATACTTCCACTCCTGCTCCGTTCCTTCTGCCGTGGACAGGTACATTGAGGAGGTCAGACGAGTGTATGGTGTCATCGAGATGGCTTTGGCTGAACGGAGAGAGGCCTTGATCATGGACTTGGACAGGGACAATGCCGCAGCATACTCGGCGGGCACCACCCCGTTGAGCTCCTCAAGATATTTCGACTACCCCGTTTGGCTTGTGGGCGACCGTGCCACAGTTGCCGACTTGTCCTTCGTTCCATGGAACAATGTCGTTGATCGCATTGGTATCAACCTCAAAGTCGAGTTCCCTGAAGTCTACAAGTGGACCAAGTACATGATGAGACGCCCCGCAGTTGTGCGTGCGTTGCGGGGTGACTGATTCTCTCTGCCGAATGCCATGCGCAGCGTTTTCCAAGAACGCAACTGCTGGGTCAAGGTGAGCCCGCTGTCATGATCACCATTTGCCGAAAACATGACTGAACGAGAGATGGTGTCTTCAAAAATAATTCACTAATTAACAAAAGCGTTGAAAACAGGCAGTGCTCCGAGGCAATCCTCGCAATAGATCGGTTCTTCTCAACTGACCGATGCAGATCCTGTCAAATGTTACTGGTGTGTTTGTTCGGAGCATGAGTTTTCTTGAGTATGTAATATATCTTCTGTGTTAATCTCGCTAGAAATCACCGTCGGGCGTAGTGTAATTCTTTTCGGCGTAATCCCAGAGAAAGCTAACGACAGATGGGACAGTTGAGTTGATGCCGCACTGAGTTCCGTAGCTCTTGCCTTCAAGTCTCAGGTCAATGTATTTTTCGAAATCTGAAAGCTCGCAAGAAAAGCCTGGCCCGTCTTGACAAGTCTTGATGGGGATCACGGCATCGTTTACCACGTACCTCACATATGTGGCATCACCACAGCTAAATTTTTCTGTGATCGTTCTTGCCCCTTGAGGTGTTACCTGGATATGCGAATATGGGATCGGGAAGGGAATGTGGTCGGTAGGCAAGTCTTCGTCCGGCTCAAAAAGACCGAGGGCGGCATGGAAGGTCTCGATTTCGTTGTCGTGAGTGAAACTCAAAAGCACCCTATAGGCAGGGCTTTTTTCCATCAAAAAGTTTCTGGTGGCATTCAACCAGGCGGATGAGACAGTGGCACTCAAATTGTTTCCATGAGAGTTGGCATAGTAGTTGTCCAAGTCTTGGAAATATGAGTAGCGGACATATTCTTCATTTGTAAATAGATCGCAAACTGGCGAAGAGCCACGGACATTGATTTCATAGGCACACCACTGGAACATATTCTTGACGTCCGAAGTGGTCAAGTTGAATTTTTCATTGTCTTTCATCAATCTCTTTCTCGCACCATCTAAGTACGACTCATTGTATTGACCAACAATATCCTCGTTTATGTCCCATTGATAATTAAGACAGCCGTAGCTTGGTGTCATGGAGTTGGCGCCCATACTTGCATCCTCATCCAAGATATAATATTCCACAGCTTCATCTGAATATTCGTCACCCATGAAGCCTCTGGCAAAATAGTTGCTCGTTTGATGAACTCTGGCAGAATTGGCAGTGAATACTTTGAGTGTCTCAGCAGACGCATTGAACAACGAGTTGTATTTAGCCCTAAATGATAGCCCGTGCTTCATAGCATCAGTTGTTCCTGAAAATGTTCCCTCCGAGTTGATTGAAGTTGTCTCCGTCTCGTAGTTGTTCTCGTTGTCAACAAAATATGTATAGTCGTTGAAAAATTCCAACTCCCCTCTAAAAGTTCCATTGTATAATTTCACTTTGTCCATGATTGCCTCAAACCGTTTCCCGTAACTCAGAGATGGAAACCTCTCACCGTGTCTAGACATCAAATGCACCTGTTTCAAAGAACATTGGTCTGGGATATCTGTGGAGATTCCAAAACCAGGATGTTGCACATAAGGCCCAGATCCACCCAAAAATCTTACGACGTTGTAAGATTCCACCGATGCCTGTTCTGGTGAAGCTAAATCCCTATAAAACAGCTGATCCACGAGGAGAAGTCCGCCATTAATGAGATTGGAGATTGCAACCATTGTTTTTGAAGCAGGATGGGTCGCGAAACTTTTTGTTGTGAGGCTGAAACATCTACAGGGGAATTCATGTAGGTATTTATAGCTCTGAAAGTTTTCGGTAAAGATGCAATATGCATAATTATGCATGATCTTCTTTTTCAAACTCACTGCGATGCTTATGTAGCCCGCCTCAAATATCATCGAAATCTGCTACAATCGATGGGTTGTATAGACTGCTCACAAGCAGGTGGTAAACGAAACAGTGAAAGCAAGCAGATTCTTCTGCTTGATAACTCTAATTTCTGCAAGTTTGTTTTATTTTCAATGAGCAAGGTTAAAGTGTATTTAAAGCATATGGTGAAGGCAAATGCGACGAGGCATTCACTATATGGTCGCGTGTATGATTGGAATGTTTAAGTCAACGAATCTTTCGCGACTTGGCGTAATACTATTGACGCAGATGTCTTTGAGATCTGAGGAGTTCCGAATATTAGATTTTGGAGACTTACCACGGAAACATTCCTCCCGGATATTTGGAAAATTCAGAATTTAGTTATGTGAGCCTGGCGGCGGAAAGCAGCTTCTTGGGCGTGTAGTACATGTATATGCGGCTCGGTTATGCGCTTGCAGGGCAATTATATGAGTGGTTTTTGGTCGCACGTTGGGGTAAAAGGCTGTCACTGAAGGCATGCATGCATTAGGTTTTATGACAGACCGGCATCGCAAAGACGGAAGAGGACGTCGCGAATGTTTTATATTTACTTCCTTCCCTTTTTGGCACCTTTCTTGCTCTTGTTATCCGACGCATTTCCACCTGGTAAAACCAACTTCAATTTGTTAACCGAGACAACACCAATTAAATCGTTCGACTTGAGTGATTTGATGATTTCGTGTTCCTCGGGCCAGTCAATGTCAGGGTCTTCCTTCAGGGCGTCAGTTTTCCTGCCGGTGAAATAGTTCAAAGATTCTGTCACGCTCTTGCCTTTCTTCGCCATGCCTGGTTGAATTTTAGTTTTGTACTTGAACTTGCTCAAGGCAGACCAAGGGGCAAAGACTGGAACAGCAGTAGCAATTGTGTCCATTTTTCCTGGCTTAGCAATAAGGGAATCGAGCAATTCCAAGTATGATACCGAATCATCCTCATCATCCCCCTGCAAATACTTTTGTAACTCTCTTTCTTCAGCCCTTTGTTCTCTCTGTGCCCCCTTTTTAGCAGCGGCATATTTCTTTCGTTCGAGCTCTGCTTGATGCTTGGCCTCTTCGAGCTTTTGCTTTTCAAGATCTTGCACCTGTTTAAGGGTTCCTAATGCCTCCATTCTCAACTTTCTTTCCTCTTCGTCTTGGTGGGCGTACTTCTCGTTAATTTTCTTCATTTTCCCTTTTTTACCACGCACAGTCTTTGTTGAGCCCACGGTTGATTTGGAAATTGTGTGTGGGGTTTCCGTTGGAAAGGCGGGCGCCTCCGTGACTTCTCCCACGGCTTCCTCTTGGTCCACACCTTGTTTAGTGGACAACTCGGGCTCAATTGACTCTTTGCTGGTTATGGTGATATTTTCGAGGTCTCTCTTTTTATTTGTGATTTCAATCTTCAATCCATGTTCAGTTTGACGGTCAGTTCTAGCTTTAGTGTAAGCAGTTGCTGTTTCTTCATCACCAAGCCAATACAACCCGAATCCCATCACTAATTGAGCAGGCGGCATAAAGTTCTTCTTCCCTTTGAAGTTTAGGCGGCCCGGGCCCAATAAAGAGTTGTCAAACTCTTTCTTGGTGACTTCGCTTCCTTTAAGCCACCAAGCAGAGGCACTGACTTTGCTATTCCAAGCGTGTGATGCCAGCATTGCGAAGATACCGGCTTGGAACAATGCAGTAGGCGAGACGTCCTCACCCTGGAAAGGGTTAAGAATGAATACATTCAATGAATTCTCCATATCAGACGAGACAAAGTAACCACTGTCACTGAAGTGTCTGTAGTAAATCATGTCTATTTGAGAGTCATCACGACCCGCCAAGCACAAGTAGTTGTCCGAAGTAACGAACCAGTAGTATTTCTCGAACCAGTACTTTGGCCGGATAGAGCGAAGAGCATCATTTTCACCTTTGAGGTTTTTCGCAAGGTCTCTTTGAATTTTCTTCTCCGCATTCTTTAGGGCCATGCCCGAGCTCTTCTCAACTTTTGTTTGTTTATTCACGGCCACTTTTTTGGAGTCGTAATAAAGCCGAGCATTTGCAAATGAAGAAAGTGTCAAGTCAATGTCCACGGTGATCGTGGGGATAGAGGGTTCTTTATTTCTTGTTGACTGTTTCTTTTTGGCTTTTTGCAGTTCAAAACTCTCAACTGACTCGGCATCTGAGTCCGTCTCAGATTCTGCATCTGAAGAATCTGGGTCAGAATCTGATTCCGAACTTGAGACATCAGAGTCCGATGATGAATCTTCTAAATCGGAACCCACAATTTCCAGAGATTCAGGTGCTGCTTCAGGATCTGGCAATGCGAGCTTGATCTTATTCTGTAACAAACTGAGAGGAAACCGAAAGTACTTCGCTTCGCCTTTCCTTTTCGCGGCATCAAATTTTATAATGTTCTCGATATCGGTCCAGTCCATTTGCTTGTTAAGCATGGCTTGCAAATACCCCTTACATTCTTCGACGAGCTGAGCATGGTGTATGATGGTATTTCCCCTTTTCTCATTGATCTCCTGTTGCGTAAGTAACAGTTGGATTTGTTTGTCACGTTCGCTTCGAGCATTATTCAACCGCTTTTCTGCGTGCTGCTTTTGACTCTGAATGCGTAATGCGTATTTAGTGGACTCGATAGTGGAGAAAAAATTATCAAGCGTCTGGTTGTAACCCTTAACTGCTTGGAAACGAAGATCAGATTTAATTTTATGAGGTGGGAACGGGTGGAACTCATCAAAAGTATACTCGAGCGAGTCCAGATCTTCTGGATTGTAAAGTGGATTCTTTTTTTCGACAATGGTTCCTTGGGACAAGCCATTCTTTGCGTTATCAATGAGTTCATCATATTGTGTTTGAGCCATCTCGAGTGCTTTCACTGTTTGGAACAAGAGCTCCTGGTCACTTTCCAAACCAAGACAAGATTGAGAAGCATCGATTCCACCTCCAATTAGAGCCTTCAAAATCAAGTCACTGGATAAGTAGCTGGCATTAACAAACAAAAGCTTGTGAATTGAGAATACCTTCTTCTTTTTGTCTGAACTTGCTTCGGATAACTTGCTTTTATGATTCGTAATCCACTCATTGATATTCTGAACACTCATAGGTTGACACACAAGAGGTTCGTCCTCAGTAAACAACGAAAGATCAAACATTTTGTAAACTTCGTTGACAGCATACTTATCATTCTCTGGACCCAAGTCATTCACCAATCTGTGCAAGGCCAAAATCTTCATGTCATGATCCAACAATAAAATGTTACCCGCCGAGAAAAACTCCAACACCAAGTAAAAAAGTCCATCGGAAAATTGGAAAGCAAGAACACGGTCATTTCCCACCTGCTTGAGCAGGCTCAATCGTCTTGCCTTCAAATGTTTTCTCAATTTTGTAACAAACTTGGATGGTGCCGGGGCTGTTGGACGTTCAAAGTCGGACAAGTGGAGCTTATTGCCACAGTCAATAACCACGCTTTTCTTCGAGTCTGGCACAGAGAATTTCAACACATATTGTCTCGAGGAGCCGATGACATTGTAGATATTTTGCAATCTGTAGTTTGTGATGTTTTCCTGGAGCTCACATGTGATGATACGAAGATCCAACGATGTGATTCTTTGCTTTACTTTGTTAGTTGACTGAATATTACAAGAGTGTTTCATAAATAAAGATACTTACTTTCATAGTGGGGTGATTTGAGGTGGAAGGTGAGATGCTCAGAAGTCGATGGCCGAGTTCCTTAGCGACGAGTTGCTGAGTCGCATTCGTGATGTGGCTATTTTTATTGCTGGATATTTCGCCGCATCTACAGCGCCGCAACGACATTGAACACCTAGTGACAGTGTTTTGAAAATCACGATGTATCAAATCATATATGTCAAATTTCCTGTCTTCGAAGCTAGTATGATGCTTGTTTTTTCTCTTCAAAAATAATGTGCGTTTGCAAAAAGTCTACTTAAGTCCTCTTGATTGCACTTCTTCAAGAAAGGAAGCAGAGGGCCAATTTTGGGCCGCGCATCTCGACCTAATTCATCTGAACCTATCAGTTTTCTAGTTACTTGATATAAAGTATGCCATTGCCACTCGAAAAACAATTGGTGCCGCTCATCAAGGCCTTACAAGAAAAGAAGAAAGTAACGTTCTTTTTGGGCGCTGGTATCTCCACATCGTGCGGAATCCCAGACTTTCGAAGTCCCAAAACTGGGCTCTACGCCAATCTCAAAAGACTAAATCTCCCATATCCTGAGGCTGTGTTTGATATCGACTATTTCCGAGAAAACCCAAAGGCTTTTTACACTCTCTGTGATGAGTTGTATCCTGGCAAGTTTTTCCCTTCGAAATTCCATTTTCTTTTGAAATTAGTGCATGATAACGATCTTTTGGCTAGGATATATACCCAAAATATAGATACAATGGAAAGCCTTGTGGGCATCCATCCAGACAAAATTGTGGCAGCCCATGGCTCCTTTGCCACAAATCACTGCATTGAATGTGCAGAGCCCATGGAAACAGAAGATTTGGTCAAACTAATGGGCGATAAGTCTGTAAATGACGGTATCCCTCAATGTGGCAAATGCAAAGGTTATGTCAAACCAGATATTGTCTTCTTTGGTGAAGCTTTGCCTGTTCGTTTCTTTGATATGTGGGAAGAAGATTGTGACAATGTCGACATTGCAATTGTCGCTGGAACATCTCTCACTGTGTACCCTTTCGCTGGTCTACCCGCTGAATGTCACAAAACTTCCTTGCGAGTTTTGGTGAACAACGAGGTAGTCGGTGATTTCAAGACCAAGAAAAGGAAAACCGACCTTCTTATAACTAATGATTGTGATGTTGTGGCCGAAACTATAGCAAAAGAACTAGGGTGGGAGCAGCAGCTCCAGAAGCTAATATCAGAGGAAAAGAAAAAATTCGATGCCAAGTCAAAGACCTCGTGCGGTGAAAACCTTGCATTGCCAGACTCTGAGGAAGATGACGACAATTATGAAGTGGACAAAGAACGTGGACAGTTGGATCAAGAACTTGGAAATAAATTAAAGAAATTGTCGATATAGTTAACCGGATCACTTTTTACTATACAACCGATAGAAAAATCTCATGTTCTCTAATTTGATGGGGTATGATACCTCCCTATCGTTTATTCTGTACCAGCAGCTTTCACTTTGGTTCACAATTTCCCATGGTCCATTTCCAACCCCCGGCTTGCCAACTAGAATAGTGTCGATGAGAAATTGAACTGGAAATTCCTTCAGGCCGACAGTAATGTGAGAGTAAGAGCCAGCACTCTCGGTGATCAAAAGCAAAGACCCTTTGCGGCAATGGGCACTGAGAGAATGCAAGAATTTGATGGTTTCTGTCCTTTTTTCGCTGAACAATTCGTTGGTGGTAAAGAGAAGCGTGACTAAGTCCAATTCTGAAAGGTGTAGTTGCTCGGGTGTTTGCGCCAAAACGTCGCCCAATTTGAATTGTGCACTCAATTTGGACGGACTGTAGAGCCATTTGTTGCGGACATACGACGTCACGTTGTTGACAATGAGTGACCAGTCCGCAATATCAATCACATCCATGTGAAGCGAAGAGGGCGTGTCCCCATTGGGAATTTTTAGCTGGCAAAAGACTGAGGCCAACCCAACTAACTCGGAAGCGGCACCACCGCCAACACACAAGACTCGGCTCTTTTTGTTAGGGTCAGAAAACAATTCCGAGATTTCTGGACAGCTAGCAAACAAGGACGAGTATGCTAAGGCCCTGGCGGGCGTCCAGCGAGCCGCGTATGCAAGACGCTTGTCGTCACAGTCGAAAGCAGAAAGGTAGTCTCGTTGATATAGCTGGGCCTTGACGGCCTGGATCATTTCGGGAAGGTCTTCCGCCGCCAAAACGTGCTGGAATTGCTCCAAGAACAAATCAATCACCTTGAACGGAGCGAGCGTATTTTCATGGTGGAAAGGTATGTTGTCATTAGCAGAAGAAAACGTGCTTGGTTTCTTCAGAGGTCGCTGGTCATAATTCAGGGCTCGGAGACTCATTATTTGGCAGCAGATTGACGCGGGCGAAGACTTTGCAAAAACTGGAGTGTTGAAAATTGACAATGAATTGCAGCCCCAACTTATAAGGATTTTTCGCCTGAACTGACTTCCTCAGCTCTTGTGCTGGGCATTTACCTTCTCATCGCCTGTGCCCTACTTGGGCTGGGTCTGGCATGTAAGCCCGGGTAATCTGCAAGGCGATGAGCGGTAAATCGGTGCACGCACTAATTTTCACACCATTATATAAAAGCCAAGCTCGCGCAACTTCTTCCTTTCTCTTTTTTTCTTCTTTAACCTGTGTTAGGGAGAGAACCCAGCGTGTGACGAAGCTAAACTTTCGCAGTTGCTTTGGAATTGCTGTGGGGGCTTCTCTAGCAGATCGGCGCTCGTGAAGCAAGTTTAATGTCTGATGTTTCTTGCACTTGACTCGACAGTCCTTTACTGGACAACGGCTCTTACTGTTTGACGCAGGGCTTTACAAAACTGGTCCTCTTCGGGGTTGAGCGGTTTTGTGCTGCTTTGTTAGGTTCTAGTCGCGTTGTTTCTTGAGCTAATATCAGCCATACCCTCGGGTATTGGAACAGAGTAGCTCCGTCGACAGGTTATAGAGCAAGCGGGCCGGTCTTGAGCTCACCTGGAATAGCGTGGCAACACGCGGTTTTGGGTTGCAGCTCGGCCATTTTGGTTCGTGGCAACATATTCCTGTACTCTGCGAAGGTCATATGGCTAATTATCGTTTGAGTAAAACCATGTTGCTCACATCCTCGTATTCACTGCAGTAGCTTACAGTGATCGTCAATATAGTAGGTTTTGGTACAACACGAACAAATTAACAGAAAGATACCAATATTATTCACGTTTGCCTTGAGAAAAATCTATATGCTGTCGTCATCGGTAGAGACATCGGGTGATGCCAAGTTGGATATGGACGACGAGTATCCCATATTGATGTTCACAGAGCGCGGCAGGTCAGAGCCCTTGGAGATAAGTCGTTGTTTGCGCTGATTCTCAAATTCAAATTTCATCAGTTGTTCAGCCACTGGTGATCTCGATTTCTTGTGGGAATTCAGACACCCTATGTTCGAGACAGTTGGTATTCGGTTTAGACCACTATCGGCATACAAATCCTCCTCTTCCTCATCCTCTGACACTCCATCGTCAATTTTGTCGTCGCCATCTTCTTTCTTGCTCCAATCACTTGCAGATATATCTCCTTCGTCGTTTAATTTGTCGATTTGTCGGGCTATTTGCCCTTGTTGGTTGAAGGACTCGATTTCATCGATGATTTGTTTCAGGTGATTTCTGAGCCTATCAATTCTAGCTTCAAAATCATTTTTCCCAGTTTTCAAAAGGTTTTCAATTCCATCGCCACCTGCAAATGATGATGATGTTCTTTTTTTGTAAAAGAGCAAATAGGCTGCACCCGTTACGCAATCCTGTGGATCTTCAATGGCGGTAACCCTGCTATCGTTGAATTTATACCACTTTCCATCCCTGAAGTTTTTTGCAGAAGCCGTGTAATGACCCCCACCCAAGCCCCCGTAGTGCTCATCAACGGCCACCAAATCATATATTAAGGGTTCCTGTTTCAGTGAGTTTGAACTTACAAACTCACTCATATCCAAACCTTCTATGGGGAAGTCAACTACCATGTCAATTTTATCGCTGAAGTGTCGAGCACTTTGGAACCTTTTTAAATGAATAGTTAACAAGTCACCAGTGGACCAGAGCTGAATGGTTTTTGTGGCACGCTTATGATCCTTACAGCGAGGACAGTACCATAAATCTTGTTCACCGAGAACTTCAGGTGTACTGAAGTTTTTAAAACAATCATAAAGGGAGATTTTTGTGCTTTGCTGTTTGTTTAATAGACGCTTACTCTCTTCGAGTTTTGGGTTTGGTATTGGGGGTGGCTGTTTCCAAGCTTGGTGCTTTGGCTCATGAAAGAATTGCCCGTAAATCAGAGAATCCCACTCAATTACGAGCATACTATTCTGTGTAATCAATGTAGGCCGATTGATGTTGTCACTGGTCACAAGCTGATCGATGGAACCTGGTGTATCAATTGCAACTGAATCGTTGTCATTTGAGGGCTTGGGCGGACCCCCGAAGTTATCGACAGATGCAAAAAGAGAATTCACCTGATCATAGTTCGTATCACTTTCAATATCTTCGTCATTCAATATACTCGAGCCCGTCTCTTGCTCTGGTGCTTTTTTTTCTCGAGACTCCACCTCACATGCAGAAACTCCTGTTTCACCATCTACTAAGACAAAACTGTGTCTTTCCGTTTCTGAAGAAAGAGGAGATTCGGGCATGATCAGAATGGAAGCATCGTCATCACGTGACTGTATTTTTACGGGGCCATGGGTTTTTTCTTTAGATCTTGTTTGTTCCACGTATTCTGGGTAATGATAGTACTTTCGTTTCATTTCATTGAGGTTTTCGGCCAATGATGGTAAATTCGCAAATTGGGGTCTTCCTCTCGGAATTCTCAAACAATTCAGGGCTTGGGAGCTCGAATTAGTCTTATTCTGGTTGGACCTCCACAGAGATTTGGCCTGTGGCTTCTCTTCGAAGATCTTCATTTCGAACCCAAGTGATGCACTGATGTTGGGGTTAGCTAGAGATACATCAGAGTCATATCCATTCGAATCTGAGTTTTGAACACCTGCATTGACATCCACCATTGACTCGTCATCGTACGACGTCAGGTTTGTCAAGAGGGGGAAGTCTTCGGCCGAATAAAACTCTTTTTTGGTATCACCTTTCATATCTTCGAATCTGGTTTCAATATCCGAATTGGAAAGAATCTTGACCGCCTGCTCAACCTTTCTTCTTATGGTGCCAAAACTGGTTGCATCGGAATTTTGATCAATAACAACAAACAACGGTATACCAAAAGGTTCGCAGATGCTATAAGACTTATCCTCATCACCAACAACATTTACAAGTGGAACTATTATATCTTTAGATGGATCATGCGGAATAATGTAAACGATGATGATGTCGTCTTCGCTGATTAGTTCACTGACCGGCAAAAATGTGTCTGTGGCGCTTTCATCTTGAAAGTTTTTGTAGAAGTAGTTACGAAATACTTCAAACAAGAACAACTGCTGAACTGGAACCTGTAGAAAATCACTGAGGTAAGTCACCAAATCTTGAAAATTTGAGGATTTCGTGAGCTCAACTTCTAGCTCCCGAATAGCAGCATTCTGCAGTGCGTTTGAAAGATCAACAATTGTGAAGACATGATACCACTTCTTGTTCACGGGTAAAGGGAGAGTCAAATCGTTGAAAGGATCGAAAGTGATAGATTGCTTCGAGCAATCTGGACAAACAAGTGTGGACTGATATAGCCCGGTAAACAAATCAACAATAACTGAGTCATTTCTTTGCTTGTGTTGAGCCCAACAAGTATTTGCAAGTTCCATAATGGCTGCAGAGTCGCCGACATCCTCATCTTTGAGCTCAGGCTTTTCAAGATAAGGCTTGTCGTAGATGCGATTGAGGTCCTCGTGGAGAGCATCCAAAAGCCAACTTAGGAATTCTTGTGAATCTTGCTGCTGATAACCATGAAACATAGAGGAATGTCTGCCGATAGTATACTTGAACTCTCTGGGTGTGACATGGGAATTGTTGGAGCTTTGTACGTCGAAAAGTTTGTGCAACAAGTTGGAGAATGTCGATGCCACTTCTCCCTTATTTCCCAAGGGATTGGTGGTATTTAACTCTTGCTTGTACAAGTCAAAGAAGAAATAAAAGTTGACTTCTGGGAGGTGCACAAGGCATTGCAAGGCCGAGTTCATGTAGCACGTGTTACCAAGATTGCTCAAGCCCAAGTTGCCACCAGACTTAAGAATGATGGAGGGGTAAAGACAGGAAGGGTCGTAATTGGCAATAGCCAGATCTACTGGGTATCTGCGCGTCGATTTATTAACACGTTCAGCGACAAGATGATATCTGGAAGATGTGACACCCTGGGTTCTCAAGGTTTGTTCCATAATCATAGGACCAATGATTTTTTTGTCGTCAACATCAGTGATAAACATGGAAACAGGAATGGCTGGTGGCAATTGCTCCGCGTTCTCGGAGTTTACAAACCACACCCTGATCTCGATGTCCTTTGCTTTGAACATGCACGTTTTTATGGCGTCCACCAAGTGGTAAAATGTTTTGCACTGCGATAATGAGAATGAGCACTGATATTGGTGGTTGGAGCCATCCAATGTGCCTTGATACCTAGGCTGATGCGATGATTCGTTGAGTGAATGCACCACGAAAAACGGCGGGTTTCTTTCCAAGACTGCAGTCCCATCATCTTGTACCACGGTGTTCCGGATCACGGGATCCCCATGGAGGCCGAAAATAGCCACAACTTGGTGGAAAAGCTCGGGCGATATTTGAGTGAAAGCATCTGTCTCGCTGTCTCCGTCGGGCAATGCGCCGTGCTCATCAACTATGGATGAGCAGTCTAATTTTCCTAGCACATGAGCGAGGTGAGAGAGAGAAGAAGCGTCCTCGGTTTCGAGCACTTTTTCCAAGTACAGTGAGGGCACCAAATAGGACGCATCTCCATCTTGCGGAGCGACTTTAAGCATGGCCTTCCATGCGTCTCGTGTGCGCAACATGCGCTCTGCTTCGTCGATTTTCTCCCCATCAGTTGACAAAAGAGTGTCGTAATCGGCGGGGTGCGAAGAATCCGTGACTTCGGTATTGGTGGAACGGGCAGTGTATTCTGCCGAAGATAGGTGTTCTGAATACGCCTGAGGCTGATTGGCTGGGGCCCCGGTGAGGCCGGTCAAGGAGCAATCTCCCAATGCAGCCCCAGGCCCGTTCCCGCCGACTTCGTCTTCGCTCAGCACAAGCATTTTCGGGCAAGACGTGTGTTTTGTGGTGGAAGATCTACGATATTATCAAACTCGCGAAAACTTGTCTTACTGATTGTGCAAGCAGCGGCGCGCGCCAAGTCAGGGCCGGCTCTCTAGGGCCGGCTTTTGCGAGGAGCTAGGCCCAGTGGCCCAAGTGCGGGTTTTGCCAGAGCCTCCGCAAATCTTCAATTCATGAAATTTCAAATCAGTCCAGGGGACCCTATGCGAGGCAAGATGGTATATATATGTATTTAGATGGTTACAATAGAGCCGCTTTGATTTGTGGCCTTTTTGCTTTCTTTGACTGAAAGCTTCATTTCGTGATTACCACGTTGGTCACTTCCTGCTCTGGCTCTCTTGCAGCTGAGCGGCCAGTATCTGCAATAGGGCCACAGGCAAGTTTAGGCTGGGCACCTGAGGACCAAAAAAACAAACATGCCCACCAAAAAATGACCCAAACTCCAAGATTCCAAATCGGGCCTCGCATACGCCAATTCAACGCTCCGTAATTAAGGAGAGCATCTTTTAAGCTGTGAAAATCACCCGTGTGTCCGGTCCCCTACTAGTGTCTTATCACTCTAGCAACATCGGATGAATGGCTGCGACACCCTCTTGCAGATGCTGCGCGCGAACTCAGTATTCGTAACCCCACTGAACTCGAACCGTCTCCCCTACCCATTCAATATCTCAGCAAAGATGAGCCAACCACCGGAGCTGCTGGGCGAAAACTATGGCATCGATCACGCAAAAACTGTTTCCCGCTCTGACTATCGCGCCTACCCCAAAACAGGCATAGGCAGGCTACCGCTGTTGCCGTCTCTTGGCACTGCACGGGACGATAGCGGTCCAACTGGGGGCCGAGATATACTGCTTGTATCAGAAGAATCCGATCCTGAGAACGGCTCGGGCACAGACGAGGGTCAAGGATATGTAGAATTTGACCTCGGCAGTAAATTCAATAGCTCTGCCGAAGGCTGGAAACAAATGAATGTTTCCTCGCGGTCTTCCGCAGTAGCGGATACAAATCACGAAGAAATGTCCGCCACCGAGGCAAGCCCGCAGCCCAAAAGCGCTTTGGACCCGGTGAAAGAAGACGACTTCTTCAGCTCGGAGTCTGCGGCGTGGAACCAGATGAAGAAGGTCACCGCGGACAATTACTACGATGAAATGGGGAATCTCGAATTTTCGAGGGATCATAGTTTCGGCCTATTTGAAGGTAATAGCCGAAAAGAATACACCAAGATTGACACAGAAGAGCAGTTGATTAAGTACGCGAGCCTAGACACCAAAACCGACTTCTTGTTCAGAAGCCATTCTTCGTCCAGGCTTCACGCCAGTGCCTCCGAGGCTTCCAAAGCAGAAGATTCCGAAGAAGAGTTTGACGACGAGTCCGAAAACGTCAATTCTGACGAAACTCTCGCTGGCACCCGTGGCATGTTGAGAGACTCCCAGAAGTTCGCATACGTTGGCATCATTAAGCTCATCACCGTGGAAATGGCCACGGACTTGGCCTTGCTCAATCAAAAGACAACCAACAAAGTAGCCAAGAAGCTCAATCTCGGCCAGAAGAACTTTGCCAATTGGACGATGTATATCATGTCCAAGCTCTTTGATCATCTTGAAGTATCGCAAGCAGAACAGCAAATGATCTCGAATTTAAGCATGCATGGCGTCGAAACAAGTGATCTCATGAAGAGTTTGCTTCTGTTGGACCTCAAAAATCCAAAGTTGGAAAAAGAAGTTCAAGGTTTCGATCTTCGCTGGGTTCTTGCATGTGACTTGTTTTTACTACTATTGAGTGATGGTTACTACGACAGTCGTTCCCGCACACTATTGTTTCGATTTTCTTCAAACTTGAACTTATCGGGTCTCGAGGTAAGGCAATTTGAAAGAAGACTCATTGAAAGCTTGGAAATGGATACAAGTCATAAGACCATTGAGAACAGAGACGACAAGTTGCGTGACCGGCTGTTCATTGAGAAACACATTCAAAAGAACCACAAAAAGAAGTTGGCTTATATTGGCTTGGCTACCTTGGGTGGCTCTTTAGCCATTGGGCTTTCGGCTGGTTTGTTAGCCCCAGTTATTGGTGCTGGTTTGGCAGCCGGTCTTACAACGGTTGGTATCACGGGCACCAGTGGTTTCCTAGCTGGAGTAGGAGGAAGCGTGGCGATCACCACAGGTGGTGTAGCCATAGGTGCCAAAGTGGGAAATAAGGCGGGTGCAAGAAGAATGGGCGATGTCAACACTTTCGAGATGAAACCACTTCATAACAACAAGCGCTCAAATTTGATCATCAGTGTTTCTGGGTGGATGAACGGTGAAATGGATGATGTTCGACTTCCCTTCTCCACTGTGGACCCGGTCATGGGGGACATGTTTTCCTTGTTATGGGAGCCCGAAATGTTAAGATCTATGGGTCAGACAATAGGCATTCTTGCATCGGAGGCTTTGAGCACATCTATTCAACAAATCCTTGGGGCTACCATTTTGACTGCCTTAATGTCTGCCATTCAGTTGCCGATGCTACTTTCGAAACTTTCGTATTTATTGGATAACCCATGGAATGTCTCGCTAGATAGGGCCTGGAAGGCAGGTAAGATCTTGGCAGACACTCTCATCTCCGGGAATATGGGGGTCCGCCCCATCACTTTGGTCGGATTTTCTCTTGGTTCCCGATTAATTTACTCTTGTTTGATTGAGTTGGCAAATCGTGGAGGTTTTGGCTTGATCGATAATGTCATTCTTCTCGGAAATCCGGCTACAGTGAAATATGATCAAATCACACTTGCAAGATCTGTTGTTAGTGGTAGGTTTATAAATGGCTACACGCGCAATGACTGGATCTTGGGCTATCTTTTCCGAGCCACTGGCGGGGGTTTGCTGACTGTGAGTGGTATATCTCCAATCAAAAACATACCCGGAGTCGAAAATTTTGATTGCTCGCTGTTTGTTGAGGGTCATATGTCATACAGAAAGGCAATTCCCAAGATCCTAAAAGCTCTTGACTGGGAGGTTCTAAGTGACGAGTTCGCGGAAATTGAAGAGCCGGATATTGAGCAAAGAGAACGACAACGAAAGTTGCTTGATGAGTTCGACGAAGCACGGGCTAAAATGGAAAGGGAAGCAAAGGAAGAGAAAACGAAACAGAAGTCCTGGAAAAATTGGTTCAAACCGAAACAAAAGAATTGGTGGGAGCTATATGATGAGTCTGAGCAAACAGAAGCTGAAAAGACCAATGATCAATTCGAAGAGTATGACGAACTGGCTCGTCGTCAAACCACTGGGGCAAAACTAAACACAGAGGAGCAAATCCAAAGAGAAAATGTCTTCGATGTCAATGCACTTGTAAAAGAGGTTCAAGACATCGAAAGAATTGGGCAAGAGGCAACAGGCGAGACCTTGCAGGAGCTCCGAAACAACACCACTGAACAAGATCTGCATTACAGAGTCAATGAAGATATAGAAGAAGATGCAGAAAACTCAGCGGTCTTTAAGAACTTGGGAACCAAACTAGGGTCTCTTAGGCGTTGAATTTACCATAGACACTGACATTCATGATCTCGGAATGAAGTGATCGATTACTTTATTCTTGCTTCTTTGATCAATTTATAAATCTCTACTTGACTTTTTGCAACTGCCAGAATCCAATCTATTTCCGTTCTCAAGTTTACGCAAGTTCTTGCTCTGCGCGCGATTGAATACGCGTAAATTTTGGCACTAATATTGGTGACTAAATTTTTCCTGAAGTTTTTCCACCTGCGAGCATATAGTCGAGAACATCATTCGAAATGCCAACTATCCCAGTGGACAAAGCTGATCTCTATGAACTCTTAGGTAGAGAATACACTACCAAAGAGTTCGACGAGTTGTGCTTTGATTTTGGAATCGAGTTGGATGAGGACACGACTGACGAGTGCCAGGGAGATGAGAGACCACAACTCAAGATCGAGATTCCAGCAAACAGATACGATATGTTATGTATCGAAGGAATTGCTCAAGCTTTGAATGAGTTCTTGGGAAGATCTGAGGCTGCCAATTTCACTTTAAACCCCGAGACCCCAAGCGTCAAGTTGAGTATCGACAAGTCCACTGAGCAAATCAGACCTTACGCTGCAGCTGCTATTTTGAAGGGCGTGACCTTTGACGACAGACGTTACGCATCTTTCATTGCATTGCAAGACAAATTGCACACCAACTTGTGCCGTAACAGAACATTGGTGGCTATTGGAACCCACGACTTAGACAAGTTGAGCCCTCCATTCACCTACGAGGCGTTGGCCCCTCAAGATATCAGTTTCGTTCCATTAAATCAAGAGAAGAAGATGAATGGTGTCGAACTCATGGAATTCTACGAGAAGGACAAGAACTTGGGCAAGTACTTACACATTATCAAAGATTCTCCAGTGTACCCAGTCATCTTCGACTCCAACAGAACTGTTTGCTCGTTGCCTCCTATCATTAACTCCAACCACTCCAAAATCTCATTGGACACCAAGAACGTTTTCATAGAAGTCACTGGTACGGATAGAACCAAGACGGACATTGTCATCAACCAAATGGTTGCCATGTTCTCTGCGTACTCCGAAACGAAGTTTGAAATCGAGCCTGTCGAAATCGAATCTCCACACAACGCTCAGGACAGAGTAAGCCCTAACATCACCCCCAGAAAGTTCGAGGCTGACATTGAGTACATTAACTCCTGTTTGGGCTTAAAGTACTCAGGTGAAGAAATTTCCAAGCTCTTAAAGAAGATGTCCTTGAAAGCCTCGGCCTCTGGTGAGAAGCACCTCTCTGTCGAGGTGCCAATCACCAGATCTGACATCTTGCATGAGTGTGACATCATGGAGGATGCTGCAATTGGCTACGGCTTCAACAACTTGGAGAAAACTAAAGCTCAGAGTGACTCTCTTGTCGCTGCTCCATTGCCTATTAATAAGGTTGGTGATATCCTCAGAATCGCATCTGCTCAAGCTGGGTATTTGGAAGTCTTGCCTTTGACTTTATGCTCTCATGACGAGAACTTCAAGTTCTTGAGACAAGCCGATGACAACAAACAAGCAGTCAAGTTGGAGAACCCTAAGACCATCGAGTACCAAGTCGTCAGAACCACATTGCTTCCAGGAATCCTCAAAACCATTAAGGAAAACAGAAAGCACTCTTTGCCTATCAGAGTGTTTGAGTGTGGTGACGTTGTGTTCAAAAACCCTGAGTTGGAGAGAGGTGCTTACAACCAGAGAAACTGGTCTGCTATCTACGCTGGTAAGACTTCTGGCTTCGAATACGTCCAAGGCTTGTTGGGTAAGATCATGCAAACCTTGAGAACCCCATGGATTGAATCCCCTGCCGAGGACAAGAGAAGAGGATACTGGATTGAAGAAGACAAAGACAACGCAACGTTCTTCCCAGGAAGAGGTGCCAAGGTCTTTTTCAGAAGCTCTGAGAATGCAGAGGCAAAGCATATTGGTGCTATTGGTGTTTTGCACCCCGAAGTCATGGGCCACTTCGAGATCCCATACGCTGCTTCCTCTGTCGAGATCAATGCTGAGGTTTTCTTATAAATGCGCATGCGCTTGGAGGCTTTTGAATAGGTTTGGGGTGTAGCGATAATGTACGATTTGAACATCAAAAGAGATGATTTGTAATCAATGCCAGCTCTTACATGATACCATAAAATTGGAAAAACGGATTCTCCAAAAAATGCCCATCGTTTTGATATGGTGTCAATAAACTACATGGTTGTTCCGAAACGCCCGTGTGCAGTAATTTATGTGGCGGTCACGTCCTTCGTGCACCACTAACAAGCATGCCGTCTCCTTTTCTAAGATTGGAATGTCAACTCCACGCTTGCCCCCATCTAGTTACAATCTCTCGCGCAATTAAGTGAAAGCAAACTGTGGATCATATTGTGGATTTTGCTTCATATACATCTGCGTCTGTCTCTCCTACACAGTTACGTGACTCAAATCAGTTTCAGTTCAATAACCAGAAAATGAGCGGCAAAGCCCCATCTAGGTCGTACGACATGATAATGAAGTTGCTCCTTGTTGGAGATTCCGGAGTTGGAAAATCGTGCTTGTTGTTGCGTTTCGTCGAGGACAAATTTAATCCTTCTTTCATCACGACAATTGGGATCGACTTTAAAATCAGAACGATCGAAAGTAAGGGCAAGAAAATCAAGTTGCAGGTCTGGGACACTGCTGGCCAAGAAAGATTCAGAACCATCACCACGGCTTATTATAGGGGTGCCATGGGCATTGTTTTGATATACGATGTTACTGATGGCCGCACGTTTGAAAACGTTGAGAACTGGTTTGAAACCGTGACTCAACACGCGAATGAAGACGCCCAGATTTTCTTGGTCGGCAACAAGTGTGATGACGAAGAGAGTAGGCAAGTTTCGCGTGAACAAGGACAGCTGTTGGCGTCCAAGTTGAATATCCCCTTTTTGGAAGCCTCTGCTAAGACCAACGACAACGTGGATTCCATCTTCTACGAGTTGGCAGGTATCATCCAGGAAAAACACGTGGACGCCGAGCCTCAACAGAGTGCTGGGGGTGTTGATGTTTCCAAGGGCAATGGTGCTTTCTCAAGCACTTGCTGTTAAATTGTGTGAGTCCTTGGAAATGCCCTGGCGATATATCTGCCTTGCGAACTATTTTCTCTTTTAGTGTGACCACATAATACCTAATTCTTTGTTCTATTTGGCTTTGAGACGCGTGTGCAGACAGCTGGTGAAGGTTTTTATCGTGTAGTTATTACAAAACTTTGCTTCGTTTCATGTAAATTTGTTATACAGGGTAGGCATCCTTGCCTCTGTCAATGCAATACTATCAGAATGTATATACCTCCATTACTCGTTTTCTCGCCCGAATTCACCGATAAGTGGCGAGCAGCTTACATTTTCTTTCCGAAGTAAACCCACTGGTCGTCCAAAGGTTTGTGTTCCAACTCCTCCCAGGCTTTCAACAGACCGAGTTCATTGGCCAAGGTCAACTCGTCGTGTGCTTGCACCACGATTTCCTCAATCAAACCACCTCCGATTTGGTTCTCGATCTGCTCGGAAATCTCGTTGTTCTCGACGATCTGCAATCTGTTTTTCGTCATCTGTTCGACAGATTGTCTGTACACAGATTCCTTGGGGAACTTCTTCTCCAACACTTGCAAGGTCAGGTTGTACAAGGAAATCAATGCCGGTCTTGGGTTAGGGTGTTGGTAGTAGCCTGTCAACCCGATGGGGTATCCAGAGGCAGGCTTGACAAGCACCTCTTGAACCTGTCTCAACGCTCTAGTGAATCTCATTCTGGCAAGGTCTGGAAGTGTTTTGTAAAGATGTCTTCTTCAACACTGGAGTGCGTATTCAAGATTTCTCTTGCACTTGGTTGGCTGGGATGCACGGGTGCGTGGGCGCCCTAACAAAGGCATTCGACCGAGATTTGCAAGCTTTGTGTGGGTGATACCCGGGGTATTGTGACCAATGTAGAAAAGCAGTTGTTGCCGGACAATGCATAAACTTCTATTCTTCAATGAACGTACCTAAAAATCTGATCTGCGGCCAAAATGCCGGCACCATGGTGGACATCTATGGCCGAACGCGAAGGCAGGGCGGACGATCTTCTCAATTCAGACCCGCCTTGGGTCTTAAACTGTGGAAAATGAGGCGGGATGTCTCTCAAGCGCCTAAAAGCAACATCGCCCATTCTATCGGCTCTTGTGTGTTCATTTGATATATTCGCACATCACGCCTTAATACAGCGTGCACCTCTAATATCTGTAGGCATACTACAAGTGTTCAGGACTTGGGCCCCTGGAAAAACAGTGCAGGCTCATTCATTAGTCACCGCCTCCGAAGTCTCCGCCCCCAAAATCGCCGCCCCCAAAATCGCCCCCACCGTTGTCGCCATTCTCGTAGCCATTGTCGTAACCTTGTTCGTAAGCATCCATCTGTCCGTCGTGGATAGCATCGCTTATGAGCAAACCACCCAAAAGACCTGCTCCCGCGCCCATGGCCATGCCTGATCCTCCTCCGAAACGGCTGTTTTTCTGCTGGCGTGCTTGTGGTGGGTACTGTTGTGGATAAGGCTGTGGGTATTGTCCGTAGCCTGGTTGGGGATACCCGCCATAGCCCGGTTGCATGTAGCCACCCTGCGCAGGATATCCACCATAGCCCTGTTGGGGATACCCCCCATAATTGGGTTGCTGTTGTGAGTAGCCGCCGTAGCCTTGCTGACGACTGGTGTCCTGCGCAGACGCTTGATATTGGCTCCCACTCATATTTTGGCTGGCATTTCTTTGATCCGTGGCGGCGCTTTTTCCCTGGGAAGGACTATAAGCCGGGGGTTCGATTTTGTCGATGTCGTCTGCTGGAAAACGGCTTCCTGCGGGCGCCTCCCACTGGGATTTCTTCGTGTCCAAGTTCACATAGAACCAAGTGTTATATTTATCGTCGAATTTCGCTCTCCATCCCGGGGGCGTCACTGGCTCTTTCAGCGGATCGTTTTTCGGGTCCAATGCCATGCTTTTGATACTTGTCGTGTTATCTGTTAGGGTAAAGAAGAAACACCATAATTGGTGGCGACGTCATGATTCGAGAGTGCGCGTGCAGGTGCGGTGGCTGAGTGGGGCTCCGCTTTTCACAAGCCTCTTCATTCGCGGGACTTCGAAACGCAAAGCGTGGCGCCATCAGTAGAATATGGAGGAACTCGGTCAATTGTTCGTTCACTAAAAAATCTTTCTTCTGTGGTTTATATCGTGCAAATCATGTCGGGAAACTTTTGGTGGATGCTGAGGGAAGAAGCTCTCAGGGCATATATATGCGGGGTCGAGGCCAGAAACCAGCCTGTTTCGGTTTTTTTTTTTTTGTATAACTTGATCTCTACCTTAGATTCCTTCTCTGCTGACCGAGACAATTAGAAAGCTTTCTCGCTAGTCTCTGGTTATGGAACATGTTACACACTCGTCAACTCATCACGCTTCAATATTCGAACCTTTTGTGTTCTTTGGCATATATTCGTCTCTCTTGTGCTGATTGAATGATTTATACTTCGGGCACAATTCTTACTTAAAATAGTTCTTTTTTGCTTGATTCCAAAACAGGCATTGATATCAGAAGGACACATCATCAGGCTCATTCGCATCAACCGCCTCACAAATATTGTGTGAGCTAATGTGACTGAAAAGAAGCCTTGGTCAGAAGTATTTGATTGGAAGACACACACCTCACACGCGATATCTGACACGTTTCTAAAGATTACTTCATAAAGAAACAAGAAGATTGCCCCAATTCTTGGGGAAGAATTGCGCAGTACTTTGGTACAAATCCAATGTACACTTGCTCTAAAGACGAGCATTGTTTTCATTACAAGTTCTCGGATGTTTCATAAGGCCAATACTCGGATCAGTTGGGGACGGTCAACGTTTGTCAATACACATAAGAATCAAGCCTCTTTTTGCGGGATTTGGGGACAAAATTGTGCCCATGATTAAAAAGGAGAAAATTAGCCGCATGTGATGTTTTCATCGCTTTACTGATAATAAAATATATTTTCTCCATTAAGAAAATTAATACCTCCGCTCTTTCATCTGAACTTGTATCTTTCCAGCTCATGGGAGCTGGAAAGTACGCATGGAACTGCGAAGTCTCAAGTAAACCCGCTCCATTATCTACAAGACACTTCCCCTTCAAAAACGATGCACTTTTATGATTCATCTTACACCTAGGTAGAATATACCCCATGGTATCAAAATTCAAGCTCAAGTAATGAATAAGCAATTTTCTCCTTCTTCTTTTTTCTAATACCTAGAGCCTGCGCCACGATCTTCTTCTGTATTTCTTTCTCTTTCGCATAATGCGCATTATGAGTTCTGTGTTCTCTTTTGTGAAAATAAGCTTACATGTGCTTTTCTTTAGGTCACACTAGTTCTGATTGTCCCTTCCAAGGTCTTAAAACAGAAGGGTTTAACTCCAACATCATTTCCCGGATTTCATTTGCAGCTCGGTCCAATCATGTTCAAAATCATCTCATTTTCCATCATCCTTTCGGTTGTCGCCTTGCTCTGGTTAGTGTATCATTCACCTGTCAAAGAGTTTCTGCTTGAAACTTCCACTCAGTTCCGCAACTTGGTAGTTTGCTCAGACACACAAGCGGCCCAAATGTGCTGGAAAAAATTTGGTCCTGCAATACTAGCACTGGCGAAATCGAGTTTCTCAAACTTAGCGTACCAGCTTGTGGAAGTATGCCTCCATGAAACAGAGAGTCAACATCTACACGATCTACAATTCATGCTCAATGTACAAAAGTGTTTCCATGCAGCAGACTTCATAGAATCTCGATCAGGGTGCTGCTCGGCAAAATCAAGTGTCCGAGAGGTAGCATCTGTTGATCTGTGGCTCACATTCTTGAAGACATTGCTTCTAGTATACTTGGTGTTCAATGTACCTGAACGCGCGATCTTGAAAATACGGGAAGCTTTCCACGCGAGTTATGAGGTGTCAACATCGTTCTGGAAGTCTTTTCTTGCGGTGTTCAGCCCCTTTCTTAAAGTTCTTCTGACAAGTGATTCCTTAGATGGAGCAGCAAATTCGCTGGAAAATGTTTACGAGGCAAGCCCAAAAATGGTTCCTCCAGGTGAGAATATGGGTGCAAAATGGCATAACAACGTACAGACAACCCTGTGTACAAGACATGAGGCCTGTACCGAGAAGAAAGGTTTACTTCGTGTGGTCAAAAAACCACATAATGCATGCCCCCGCGTCGTGAGAGGATGTAGAGAGCAATCTAATTCAATACCCGCTACTTCTGAATGTGCACGCGACGCAAGCGACACCGAGACCCATACTATGTGTGGCCATCTGGACGAAGATGACCGCTGCAGTGAGGGGAGATTTGAAGTCACATGCTCGCAATCACTCGCTACAAATACGTCTGGGAAACTAAATCTGAATAAAGCGTTTCTGTCTGACGGCGAATTATCTGATTCCACTAGAAGCAGTCACCGCCAAAAACTTCTCCTTGGTCCACACGAATCTACTTCGGCGGATGATATTGAATTTCTTGTCTCGCTTCCCCCTTCCAGTCCCAAAGAGTTCGAGAATAGAATACAGACAGGCTCTCTGTCTAACCTGCTTGACAAGAATATACTCCCTGGAGCATACGGAAGACCTTCTTTCAACATCTCGACTGAAGCAGGCCGAGCAAAGATGAGGGCATATGTCAAAGCAAAAATGATGCACAAAATACCAGGTTCCTTAGAGAAACACAGCTATCGTCAACTCTCCCGAGTAGACTCGGATAATCAAAGAATGCGTCGTGTTTTTGTTGCTAATAAGGGCTGGATATGGCGAACGAGACTGGAGACGCATGGCACGCGATTCGTGACCCATAATGATACTGAGGCCCCGGGCTCATAGCACATGCGAATTTTGGCCTAGTAGTTAGGATCTGCGACTAAGCAAGAAACCCGGAATTAAAAATCGAGGTCAACTCATGACGTCTTACTAGCCCAACTTGGAGCCACTGTTTTCTTCAGGAGTTTTCAATCTCATTTTTTGCCCGGGTTCGCAAGAGAGTGTGTAAACACAAAAACCCGTCAGTTTGAAGGATTGGGCGTGTCAGATATATCTGAGTGCAGGTTACTCAAACACTTTTGTTGGGGTACATGATAAAGTGGAGTTGGTGGTTCTGATCAAGTCCTTGTGAAAGCTCCTTGTATTTCGGCATAATGAAGATGACTGGCTAAACTGAACTGCCACAGAGGCTTTAATAACGAAAAATGCGCCAATAGAGATGGGACATCGAAAAAGAAAAAAGCAAATGAATACACATCCCACAAAAACAACCTGAAATATCTCTTCGAAATAGCGGCTTAATCAAGCGAGCTATTCCCACTCAATAATTAAAGTTATGTTCATAGATTTTGGTTCCCATGTGATCAGCGCGCAATGGATGGTCGCGGGTTTCACTTTCACATGACCGCGAGATATCTAAATTGACCCAAAAACCACACTTCTCTCTATAAGTCAAGTCCTTTGGATGTCATAACTCAGGAAAAAAATAAAATCTACCTTTGCTAAGACTGGTCTACTTAGTATTCCCTCAAATATTCAGAAACAGCAACATCAACATCAATTTGTGCCAACCATATTCAAACAGGCGCCCAACTCATCGCTAAATCAAGTCTTCAAATTCGCCATGCCCCATCCCAAACAGATCAAAAGAAAACTATCAGAAACATCAAACGCCGAACCGCCAAGATATGCAGATATCGTATCTCCTTCTTGGAATTCTGGCTCGCAACAAGAGCCAAGAGATGAGGATCTAGTGTCTGCTGCTGAGGCGTTGACTCGTCTCACGAACTCTGCAACTCCGCCACCCTCATTTCATGAAACGCATTGTACTTTAGCCCTGCAAACAGCTTCACCTTCTTCCTCGACCCCAGTTACAGAGGCTGGCACACAAATACATCCGATTGTGAAGAGAGTGAACACGATTTCGAAGCTTCCCTTGGTCACGAACGCTGTGAAGTATTATGAAACATCCAAGAAAAACTATGCCACATTCAACTACGCTGCTGGAATTGTAGAAAAGGCCGCCATGCCGGTTTTTAGTAAGATCGAGGTCAATTTAAACAACAAACACCAGGCGAAGCTTGAAGAGCGAGCACGCATCAAGAAAAAGAGAAGGATCAACAAAAAACACGAGAAGCATGAAATAAAGAAGCGCATCAAGTTCTGTTTGCACATCTTAAAACTTGCCAATGAGAATATCAGTTCCAAGGTTGTTGACCTCCAAGAGAAAATGAAAGAGACGGAGGCACTGAAGACCGTCAAAAGCGAGTCTCCCACTCCTGTCTGCCAGCTCACAAATGAGTCACAAACACCTGGCCTTTCTCCTGAAGAACTCACTCCAATTTCTACAAACAGCCCGGAGAAAGCTCTAGAGACGAACAATGAGATTGTTGCCACTGTCAAGAAAATAGTGCATGTAATCTCCAACTTTAGACCGAGTTCCTTGAATGTTGGCGATGACACGAACGGCGGCCCGAATGATGACGTTAAATTGAAAAAAACCATTCGTGAGATCATTTTGAGTCTACCTAAGCAAGTATCACAGACTGTTCCTGGTGCTCAGAAAGCTCCTCATCAAGCTATCTCCTTCGCCAGAGAATCGCTAGACATGATCGGGCGCCTCACTACTGTATTCAATGAGCAATTGGAAAAGGCCGAGCACTGGGTTGATAGATCTACAGATGACATGTCGATTGATTCACTTGTCAGCGAAAGTCCTGCGCCAAGTGAACTGACTAAGATTGATCGACCTGGCGTTGTGAGGTTGAAGTCTGAGGAGAGCTTTCATTCTCTTTATTCTCAAAATGACTCAGCATAATAATATTTTTTGGTTCAGATTCATTTATAAATTATTTGAGGTACAATTATCAATTTCATATACTAATTTCAAGGTTTGGGGCATGACATAACTGCAATTACAAAATGATCCATTCAAGTTCATAATGAGATTACTGTTTCATTTCACAAATTGATGCAGTCCTTTGTATTTTCCTCACCTTTGTAAGAAAACGACCAAATTTATTCGGATAAATCAGCATGTAATATGAAGCAAGTCATTGTCAGATCGGGCGCCATATTCTGATAAAGTCTTCGGATTTTTAGCATCTAGCAAGGGGTTATTCTCTTGTTCTTGGTGCAAAGATCAGCGTTAGTCACATTCATATACATATACCAAAATCTATATCTTTCAACAATGCAACCTGTTTACACAGGCACTTCGGAAAATGACTCTTTTTCTTCACGTAATATTTAATGTACCCAAAAGATGTATCCGAGATTTCCTGTCTATGTTTTTGTCTCCATTAAAATATCCTGACTGTTCAACGAAACTACGACAAGAGCATATAAAAGCAATTACAGTTATTTGCATGAAGGAGTTTTGTTCACTCCGTAAACCGAGTTGACACGCTTATTTCCGAACTCAGGCTGGATAGTCACACTGCTGATTCCCGACCTAAAAAGAATCTCTCTCACTTGGGCAACAGTTTCAACAAAGGCATTCTTGTCTATTTTCCCGTCCCCTTTGGAGTCATGAATATTAGATTCTGGTTGCTCATTGAGTTCGATATGCAATGATGCCACGAGGAAGTCTTCATCTAAATTCCATACATGGAAGTCGTGTATAGCCTTAATGGAAGGCAAAAGAGTGATCTCCTCAACGATCACATTCGAGTCCAAATTCTGTGGAGTAGCCTGTAACAAAATCTTACAAGACTTTCTGCACAAAGGCAACGCAGACGAGAATATAATCAAAGTAATGAAAAGAGAAACAACAGGATCACTGTAAAACCTCCAAGAGTAGTCCGTTTTCCAAATAAAGATTGCAGTGATTATAACACCCACATTTCCCAATGCATCACCAAGAACATGTAAAAAGACGCCCTCCATGTTCATGGACTTCAGCTTTTTCCTCGGTACGTCTTTCTTGTTACCAGAGAGAAGATTGCTTCTCTCATCATGTCGAGCGACAACAGTGTCGGGCAAGTACTCAGATATATCTGTACTTGATCGATTGTTTTCAGTGTATGAACCAGATCTGATGTTTGATTCCTCATCATGTACGTCTGAAGAGCCAGAAGCATGGCTGTGACTATGAGATTGATTACTTGAACCACTCCCATGTGAGTGTCCATGAGAATGTCCATGTTCGTGGAACAATACGAGGCCCAACCCATTACTCAACAAGCCAAAGAATCCCACCATCAAGATAAGTTGAGGATTAGATATTTCAGGTGGAGCAAAGAAACGTTGAATGGCCTCGATCACAATCGTAAAGCAAAGGGCCAATAAGAACACAGCGTTCACCAAAGCACCAATAATTTCAGCTCTTTGCCATCCGTAAGTGTATTTCCCATCGGCAGGCTTTGAATTTTTCACTTTCACGGCCCATAACGCAATGAAAAGAGAAATGATATCATTCAACATATGGAAGGAATCGGCAATTAAAGCCAATGAGTGAACAGTGTACCCAACGATAGCTTCCAAAAGGAAGAAGAAAATATCAACCACCAAGAGGGTGATGATTCTGATCTCCTTGGCTTTCATCGTGACGTTTGGTAAAAACACAAGACTCAAGAAAGGGGAAGCAATTATCTCTTCTTCGATCACCTCCGTCTATACAATATGACGTAAACACTAAATCTGGTTAAACAGATTAAAGTGGTGATCGTTCAGGAAAGAATCACAAAAAAATCCCTGTTAAGATCAGAAAATCCGCAGACATGTCAAAAATTTATTTCTCTCGCCAAACCAGCTTCATCGTCTCTGCAGACAACAATTTCTTTATCTTGACTGCGCGAGTTATATTGATGTGAATAAATAAATTTTTGATTTGAAATGTAACATTTCCTCGAATTAATGAAGACATCCGATATATTCAGCCAAATTTCATTCTGTATAATCACTGTATGTCATAGCTTTTTGAACAGTTGGAATTAGAGAATAAGCGACAAAATGTTGATTTTATGGAAAGAACTTTACTTTGATTTTATAATAGCTGATGCAAAAATTCCGACTCGACTCAGTTTTTTTGAACCTTATTCTCCTACAGACATTTTTTTTTCACAATCCCCCAATTCTTTTATCTATTTACCGGTGAAATTTTAGTTTAATCCACGACTTCAATTAACGTAGCACATTCGACAATGAATCGTATTTGAATCCATACAGTGGTTATGCAGCGTGACTTCCATCCTGCTGGTTCCTGCAGGCTCCCGGGGAAATATACGGTTTCGCCTTTGTTGTCATTACTACAAGATACAATTGTTATCTGGCATGGAATGTGCTCAAATCCCTTGTCTGACTCGGATTGCAATGATAACGTGATGCTCCCTTCCACACTATGAAAAAAGATTTCTGCTCTTCTAGTTGGTGAACGACCAAACCCATTAATTACCTCAACGTCCAACATTCCCAACTAATTTCGATGAATAGAGGATGAATGAGGGTGTCGCTCACTGGAATACACAATAACTCTTATTAATTAAAGTACTATTTATGAAAAAAAAAAAAGACAAAAAAAAAAAAAAAA